CTGCCATTCTCTGTTTTGTGGCTTGTCTTTCTTCTTTTACTTCTCTCTTGCCATCTTTATGATATATTGCTATATCTTTGGTAAGTTAAAGTTGTCTTTTTAGACAATTTGTTATCGCTCGTTCACATCCTTCTGATCTGTTCCCAATCCCTTTGGTCGTGTACAAATCTTTCGATTTTTTCCTTGTTTTTTTCACCTTTTACTTTCTGTTTCGTAATCGCAGTCACTAGGCAATGATCCGAACTCACCGCACCGCGTATCAAACATTCTGCTCGACTTTCTACAATTATCATATCTAGAAATAGCTTTTATTTGTGCCCGGATGTACTCAGGTATTTTGTTTGGTTGCTTTTTCCTTTATGAGTGTATTTATGATTCTCATATTACTTTCTTTACAGAAGTCTACTCGTCTCATTCTATTTCTGCTTGTCTCGTTTTGATCTCTTAACTGCTTTCCTACTGCCGTTTGAAAACTCTCGCTTAGATTTTTCCCCGACGGCAGTTGAAGTCATCAAGTATGGTTATAAGACATTTATAAGTTTTAAGCTATTCTATTGTTTTTATTAGTTCCATATATAATTGCTTCTTTGTGTGTCATCATTGTTTGTTTTAGTTGGAGCATAACACTTAACCATGTTTATCAGTTTAGATATTTAATCACATTTTATTTTCATACTGGCAACTCTTCCGCTCTTTTCATTGTGTTCTAACACTTTTGTCCCTTCACGTTAAACGCGATTTGAGTTTGGAGTTTGTATATAGCAGAGGTCTAAACTTGAACCTCGTGCTGGACCTAAACTCATCTATAGTTCACACTCGAATCATCGACATTTCATATTTCTTTTAAGATGCAAAGAGTAAAACCCAGGGTCAGGATAGGAACATTAACGCAGAGCTTCATCAAAGTTAACTTTAGAAAGCGTAAAATTGAGTAATTATACAGCTTGATGGTCATAACTGTCAAAATCACATGTAAAATTTCTTACACATAATGTGCCGATTTAACAAAACTAATGGATTTTGTGTATATATTTTACTTACGAACTGACAAATTCACTTAGCATTACTTGAAGACTTTGTGTCAAGTTACTTCCCTACGTAAAAATGTACGATATTCTTAAAAATCATTTATTTATCAAAGTATTAGCTATTGTCAGCACGTTATCATGTTCACTTGAATGCGCTAGATAGTTTTGAAACATCCGAAATGGCCTGTTTCATTAACAATCTTTTTGTTTTCGTGCTTTAATGCTGAAAAAGTGAATCCACAGTTAATCACTACAGTTCCCTATCACATGTTTATTAGTTAAATCTTCTAAAATCTATTTCCACTTTCCGTGTGACCTAAAAGGATAAAAAGAATGATTATCACTTACATCAGGCTGAATTTGCATAAGAATGACAAGCTTATTGGTGCTACACTACCTTTTGTTTAATCACACCTTTTCATTATCGATAACATTCTTCAAGAAGCCAGTCTAAGACAATAAAAAAATACTGAGTTATGTTTAAGACTGAGATAGTTAACTTCAGTGTGTCAGTCAAACATACTAAAGGTAGGCTAAGGCAGTATTAACTGCCTTTCAGATGATCGTGGATTTTCACGAATCAAACAGAGATTTAGATATAACATGAAAATATAATATGTTTAACTGTTTATACAAAAGCAGTATTAAATCGTGTAGTTTGAGTGTTGTTAAAATCACCAAGAAAAGTCCTAGCGATATGAACAGTTATTTGCGACGATTCAAAACCATATATCGATGGTCTTCCTTGAGCCAAAATTCTACTGGAACTACTAAATTATTGTGTCTGTGTTTGGAAACCACCCAGCTTTCTGGTATTTTATTAAAATCAGAGTTGGATATTTTGTGTTGAGACCTATAAATAGTCAAGATACTGCTGGGTTTAGAAAAATGCATGGATTTCATTACATATTCGTGAATGAACTTCAAAATCTTTGAGTCAATTAATACATGTTTCATCTTTGGATTCAGTCTCAAATGATCAATTGACCAATTGAGTTGTGATTCAGAAAAATGAATAACTATATGATACAATTCACTTAGTATTGTTTGTTTGGATCTTCCCATCGATGTGTTTAGGACTGCAACTGGTCAGTCTCTAATTGGCATATGTGCATACTGTGCGTATTGCCTCGATATATCCATCTCTGCTTATATGATACAATGTTTCATATTTTTCGAATAAATTACATCCAATAATTTATACGGGAATTACTACTAATAAACCACGTGTTAGACGTCTAGTGTTTACGAAGTAATACTGTGGCGAACAAGAACATTAGTTGGGGACAATCGAATGTATTTAAGCACAAATTACAGACTATCTCACTAAATTCTGATAACCATACAGCAAACAGTTAATTTGCAAAATAACAAACAATTGTCTCAATCTTCACTGTTTCTTCTGTAAATATCAGTTCATCTTCTCTAATACCATTGTTTATACATTTTCCTACCGATATATATATATATATATATATATATATATATATAGCCACACCACAATACTATTGATTATGCTGTGCTTTGTATTCGACAAGTTGTTAGAAGTATAGAATAAGTGATAATTCTATATGACTATTAAAAGTCAAGCTTATCACATACTTCATATCATTTGAATAACATGGATTACCATTAATTTTTGTATACGATAGGTATAAAACTGGACAGTTGTGAACGTCTAACTGAAATTACTAGCCGATCAGTGTTAGAGAACCAGTGAAAACCCAAAAGCACTGGGCGGCCGTTTCGTCCTAGCATGGGACTCTTCAGCAGTACTCCACGATCTCACACGCCAGACTCAAACCCACGACCTTCGGCGACGCGCGAATATTTAACTTCTAGACCACCAACCTGGCGTCCGATGATGTTAATGTCCAACTTAAACTAATCCGCGATATTGCGCGACCATCCTCCATTATCTTCAGCTAGTAATTGCCTCACACCTGAAACGGCTGAACTCCACTAGTCAAGGCTTCTCACTAGAACTTCGAGAATTATCTCCCAAAGCTAGTCATTAGTGAGCGTATGATAACTATCAGTATAGGGTTGTGGAACTTGGGGAGTTTTTAAGTGAAATCATGGACCGCTCAGTGTTAGACCACGTGCGCGGACGGAGGTCGAGGATTCGAGTCTGGCGGGTGAAATCGTGGACGCGCACTGCTGAGCAGTCTCGTACTAGGACGAAATGGCCTTCCAGTGCTTTCAGATTATCAATAGTGGTCTGACATTGGTCGGTTCATGATTTTAATTAAAAACTCAACAATCTCCATAATCTTATACTAATAATTATGAATTTAGTTCTACTATTTAATCGGCCAATTTTCTTTGTTCATTACCATTAGACATGAAGGGTACTTTTCGTGAAATCTTTACTTTAATGTTATTTTTGTTCACCTTAAAAAGTTGGTTATTAAAATTAATACTAGTGGTGTCTTTGTAATTTATACAAAATAAACATTTACCTATATACATAATGAACATTCAATTCTTTAGAAATTCCGCAATATACTAAATATGATTTAATCTTAGGGATGAATTATAAGGTATTTGTGATAATTTCTGTCTGCATACGGCTGGATATTTAGTCCAGTTATTGAAAGATCATTGTTGTCTTTGACGCTAACATGTACCCATTTAATTTCACTTTACAAATTTCTCCTCAGAGCTATAGATCTTGAGATAATTAGATGCCTCAATCCTATGAAACAACATCTCATTCTTATACACTCAGTAGCAGTGGCTTAATAAAACCTACAGTAATATAATGAAGTACGGACTATTAGATATACAGTAATGCGGCTTCCAGTTTTGTTTCTTAGTTTTTTCGAAGTTCATATTATTACTTTAGGTATACACCCTGAAAATATAATAAAACCACATTTGTTAATAATTATCGAGCTTCAGTAAAAATTCATTTGTGACAATTTGTGGGATAGAATTTTATGGAAGGGTAAATAACAAGGAAAGAAAAAATGATATGACTTGTAAGAATTAACCCTGATAATCAGACTGGTGAATGGTAACATAAAATGTTTATGCTACAGTCATTAACATTACTGATCGATTCCAGTTGAACATATTTCCTAGTTAAATATTCTATGCATAAATTTTGTTAGAAATAAAGGATTCTCCTTGATTACCATTTCTATATTTTTAATATCCTCTCGTTGGAGACTTTCCGTCAAAAATTTGATTTTGATGGGGAGTCGTTACTCAACCACATCATTCTCATGAATTTACCCAGTCGATCACATATCAACACAGCCCACACAACCTCGATCCGTAAAGATAAAACATGATAGTTCAAGGGCATTAAACAATGAATGTGTTTGAACTATAAACTAGGATCGATTCACTGGACTATTATCTATTGTATTTGTTGGCTAATCCCCGAAAGTTGTTAGAGTGTACTTGTAATGAATTCACTTAAAATTCATCCCGGTATTTTACAGTTTCAAACCTACTGAGTATTAAATCGATAACAGTTCAGGATAAAAACTGTTATAGAATCTACCGATTCGTAGTTTTGAATATCTATCGTCATAGTTAATGTGTGACTTATCAACAAAGTCCTTGGTATGGGAATTGACTAAAATACATTTACTGAGTACAAACATTTCTCTAACATAGGGGAGAGAAATAATTCATCCACAAAATTGATAGTCTGAAAGAACATAGATAACGAAAATCGTTTAATTCCAATACATATTACTTGAATACAATGTCTGAAAGAAATTTACTAACAGGGCTAACAAAATAACCAATCGTAAATTCGACAGGTATTCATTTTATTATTTGACAGTGTTTTTTTCATAATGGACATTGGATACTTTAAATCTAAGCAGAAAATGTCTACCTCTAAAGTTTTGATAATATTCAAATCTGATTGGCCGGTTTTCGCAATAGGTATTCCCATAATTTCTTGGATGAGAAACATTATAATAAAAAATAGTTATTAATTTGGTCCGACAATTATTGTGGATTATTTTTTATAGAAAATCAACTTGTGTATTCTTATTAACAACTTTGGGATAACAAAATCCTAGACTATCCTAATCGAAAGGTCTCAATGAAGATCAGCTTTCATGTGAGTGTCCATCATGTTAAATATAAATTTTTGTCAACATGAATTTAATTGATAAACTATTAAGTTAACGAGGCTAACCCTTTCCTCACCAATCCCACTTATTATTGCAACTACAAATTTCAATAAGAAGTTATTAAATTATCTGCTAATCAAATGAATACTAGGATAAAGTTGTTTAATGATTAGTACTACTCACAGAATTAGGCCTTTTTTCATGTATTCCATTTAAATAAAGAACATTTTACAAAATCTAGATGATAAATATTCAAATATAATGGGTTTTGAGTCAATAAGTGGATAGATATAGTGTCACCTGATCAACGTTATACTTGTTTTAATTGGTCAGCTCATTCTTAAACATGACTATGAACGATGCATTCTTGGAGAGTAATTCTTTAGAGTTAACAGTGCCTTACTGTACTGATATTGAATTTTAAAAATAAACACACCTAGTTTTGATCGCGATGCATAACTATATTTTCGTCATCAAAAAAATGTTTTTTATACCCTTCAATCGTATTTGAAAAGAATAGTGTCAATCCTTGAGGGATTCACTGGTTCTGTCGAAACTTTATATTTTCTCTTGTGGTAATACCTATAAATAGTTCTGTAGTTACAGTTTGAGGATGTTGGTAATAGGAATGTTCAGAAAATTAATACCTTTCTGATATAGGAACAATATACCTCGTGAGCAAAACATCTGCAGGCGAAATATTGGTTGAAATATTTATGAATAACACAAGATTTGGACTCGGTTGAGATATTCGATTTCTTTACGGTTTCTCCTCTTTCCATGATATATATATATATATATATATATATATATATATATATATATATGTAATTTCTAGGATGCATGACACTTTTGTTGAACGGATTTGAAAATTCGATGATTCAGTGAATTTTTTGTTGTCAAATGTCAAGTTATTTATGTAATCGTGACTGTAATTACTTCATTTCTTCGACTGTTAATTATCTTATAAAGTATTTAGACAATCATATCATCTACACCCTAATGTAGAATGTTATGGTTAACGACCAGTAATGTTATTACTCAGTAGTAATTATTTTAGAAGTTCAAGACTTCTTAGCGTAAATCAATATTTTTATTCCGTGGTATCCTTTAGGAATTCGAGTGTTAGTGTTATATTGAAGAATACTGACGGTTACCAAAATGAGCCTTTTATTACTTTTCACATAACTAAAATAGACTGAGTACATAGATGTCATTCATTTGAAGTTAATCATGGATCATAATGACAGTGTTTGCTCCTTTGATGCGGTAGTATTCAAACATTTCAGATAAGAACAAAATCCTCATTATAACTTGCTGATCGTAGACAACTGTATGTCTTAACAACATACAATCACTTCATATTCCTTCTCTTCACCACTCACTTTTTCTCTTGGTCATCCTTCATTATTTACTAATTAATAGAATAGTCAGTGTACATGTGGTTCATTATTAACATTTTTCTTTTGAAATAAAGAAATAATAATAATTGAATATTTATAAGAAATGAAATACATCTATTACGTGATACCGGAATGGATCAATTGACGAATAGATGTCACTAAAGATTTTTAGTACCTTTGACCTATTTGGAACTTATTATATTGATGAAACTTGTAGAGACTGTGTATAAATTAAGGTTATAAGTAGAAAATGTAATTGGTATAATATGGGCATTAGAAAAAGTACAGTTCAGTCAAATTTGTCCAGTTTTTTTTAAAATTTGGATTGTTTCGCAAATTCATTTAACAAAAGAAACAAATAATTGATTTCATAGGATACAAAACTAATTCTTTCTAATAAGCAACCATTAATAATGAAGCCAAAAATCAAAATAATCTTATTTCTAGAGTCCGAGTAGTTGAATAGTTTAGCTCTTGATAAACCTTATTCACCGATCGTTTAAGCCATTAATTGATAATTATTAGTTAGGAACGTAAGAACAAAAGTTTAAATACCCTTATCTTCAGTATGCACCATAAGTTTTAGTCGAGATTCAACACACAATCTTCTATTAAACTGATACCAATTCTTGATGACATCGGTTATTGAATTAACCAAGTAAGAAACAACTAATTGTAAGGAATGATTACATTCATTTTAACAGGTCGAAATCATGAGGAACCGTAATATACTGTCAACTAAATAAGAAGTAGTCAAAGAACCATTTGTAATCTGTTATAAAATAATAATAATAACATTTAGTAGCTTGAAATATCATGATTATCCCTATTATCGGTCTAAAATACAGATAATTATCATGTATGTCAGTGATCTATTGGCAACATCCGCTAGATAAAGCATACACAACTACCAAGTTTAGTAGTTCACATTAGGCCTCTCTCCTTTTTCTGACGAGTCTAGAATATAAAAAGAAAGTATATCTTTGATTTAAATAATTTCTCATAGTCCACTTAACTCAAATATCTCGTGTTGTATTTTTCTTTTATTTGTAGGTTTAATTTGAATGGTTCACAGTGAACTACTTGTTTACCTGAATCCATTTAATCTGCTCAAGCAAAAGTAAAAAGTTCAAAAGAAATATAAAGACACCGGTGTTAAAAGTTTAATTAATTTTGTAACTGCTTTGTGACAAAAATAAATACAGTAAATTATTCGACGCCAGAATCTCCATCATAATATACTTCGAATGAAATCTTTCAGAATTTCACAAGACCTATAACAATTAAAAGGAGATCCTCCATATAATATGGTTGATTCAAATGCTCTTAGTTCAAAGGAGCATTATCGTTCAGAACTGCAAAATAGGTTATACTTTTCAAATGGTTCAAGTCAAGATATGAAAATCCCTTATCCATGTACATGTTGCAAACAAAATTCCCCTTCCATATTTTCATCACGATGTGCAGACTGTGATACTCCAGCTATAAACTATAATCTCAATTTATCGACAACCAATTTTTCTGATAATGACCCCAACCCATTTTCTCAGTTTACATCTTTATCAAAATCCAAAGATCCATTCTCCAGTGTTTGGAATAATGAACAACACAATTTTGTCAATAATAATTCTCTTCCGTCTAAAGTCCCGTCTCCCGTTAATTCTTCCCTAACCACTTTAAAATGTGATGAGTTCTCCACGTCTAAAATTAATTTGAGGAACACTATTGAGTTGTCTACAAATCAACTGGCCATATCAAACGAAGACGATAGCAGATGTGGTGATATGGAGATAATTAATAACAAAGGCACTGAAGAAAATAATAATATTAGGAGTTATCATCAAGTCATTCACACTGATAATGCATACCACATGAATCAGTCTAATCCGAATCTTCTTAAACTTTTGTCGGACTGTAACCAGTTAGTCAGAAACTCATCAGTTGAAACATTACCATCTTTGTATTCACCTCTACCTTCATTATCATCTTTTAATACACTACATCCATTTAACAATCATTTTACAAGATTAGACTCGTTAATGCTAGATAATACTTCAAAATGTCTCAGCGAGGATTATATCACTGAAAAGATGGAAGAAAATAATCAAACTAAGAATGAAGATAATAATGTTAATGAAAAGTCCGATGATTATATGGACAGCAAACCAATTTATCCGAATAAAAATTCCTTGTGGATCTCCAATAATTGCACTGACCCAAATAATACAGTAGGATTTGAAGAACCATTTGATGTCGGTCACACAATGAAAGAAGTGATCAAATCTTCTATTTGTAATTATCCTTCAAATATATATAATTCTTCATTATCACTACCAACATCTTTCCAATCCTCCCTTTCTATTTCACCGACTCATAACTATGAATCATTACAGGTGGAAAAACCTGCCATAAACTTTGTAAATCATGCTCAGGTTACCACTAATCCTTGCATGATACAACATGACATGCAACATTCAACTTCAGCTAACTATTCATCATCGTGTTCTTCTTCATCATCGTCATCGTCTGAGCATCAGCAGCAACAGCAGCCAAATCATTGTTATCCTCAAACTGACATTGCTTCATACTTACCATCACAAATTAATTCGATAGAATGTAGTCATAAATATCAACATAATTTAACTGATATAACCTCTCTACATCATCAAGAACAACAGCATCGACAGAAAAAATTGTTGACTCACTTGCCAACACCAACGGAAACCGTCAAATGGATGCCTAAGCATTTGATGACGATTAATACACAACAGCATCACCAACACCAACGTCAACAACAACTCACAGACGACCTTCTTGCAAGTGAATCTCACTCAGTAATCAATAAACTTGGCATGGAATATACCTCTCAAGTAACCATAGACAAACAACCTTTGCTTCATGAAAGTAAGTTATGTTATTTATCAAGCATACTTACTCTTGAAATGCCAACATTTCCCGTTGGGTATTTCTTTCTTTGATTTGAGATAGATGTTTATTAATCATTAATTAGACCACCTAAATACTTTGTTGAGCGGCGGAATTATATCCTTATTTTTTATTTGCAGGTGAATGTGGGTTAGTGGAAAACAGAGAATATTGAATGTTTTTCGGTATATATTTAGAACCATTCAGAAGTAAATATTTATAGTTTGTCAGTTCATTGAAAACTAATTATATTAAAGCTAATTAAATATCCAATGAAAGTCTACTTCAGAAACGAGCCAAATTAAGTGTTAAAATCTCAAAATCGTAGATATGATTAATAATATCAAATATATGAATAAAGAATCATAGTGAATTGAACCAGGATTATAAATACCATACAAAAGATATTCACTTAGTGCAGAGTAAAAAATAAATCCATTCAAGTCACTGGTTCATAACATTTCGAGAGGTTAAAAAATTCCCAGAACAGTTGCCAGATGATCTTTTGATGTTGATATCTAAAATTTGTTTTTACCAACTGATTTGGGGAAACAAAACTTGTTAAATAAGGTGCCAAACATACCCAATAACTCCACTTCTTGTTCATAGATTCGGCGCTAGCGAACATCGATTGTAAAGTATGAAATTACGCTTTCTAGGAATGAAAAACTTGTTCAGTGTCATTAAATTATTATTTAATACACTCGGAATATCTTGCACCTAACGATACAATGAAACTATACTGGAGAAATTCTAGATTAGAGAATAATCACTAAAAGGCTGATCGTATATTGATTCCCTTGAGTCAATGTATTTAGAAAAAGTTGGACTAAATTCAAATGTCCCTGGAAAAAGGAGAATAATAATAAAATTTGAAGGAAATTATCAAATTACATTAAACGATAGGTATTCGAAGGCATGTGATAGTTTGAGTTCTACCGAACTCACAGATATAACTTTCTTATATGTGTATCAAAGTAAGGAAGAAGTAAGGTGTTAAGTGGGTTTGAAAAAATATTCAAGAAATTTCATGATTTTTTAAATTTCTATGACTAGAAAGAAACCTAAGCATTTTGAACGTTTTTTAGCAGTTGTTTTCATAATATTGTAAAAGTCTTCTGTCTACTATGTAAATCAATAAAAATGATCTACTCTTCTTTTGATAAAAAAGACCTTAATTCTTGGAGATAAGTATTATATAAAGATTATTCGTCGATGGAGTGACCGAGCATTTCGAGGCTCTAGTTTTAGGCACCAATCTAAAGGACCGTGAGTTCGGACCACATATCCATCAAATCTTTGTAAATCAATAGTTTAAGTGTTAAGAATTTCAACTTTCAGGCACTAATACCCAGGTTTGAACCCCGTTCCATCTACTTTTGCTAAGGCATTTGAGTAGTGTCATGAGCCATCAAACCAAGTACGCAGTTCTGTACATGGCAAACGAGTTAGTAATAATATAAACATCCGTTGTGGGACTTAAAACATTACAAACTTGTTTCGTTTCTTCCTGACAGTTCATACTATATTTTCTTTAGAGTTATGTTTCATGGGCAAGACCAAGGCACATAAGCCTTATCATACTTTAAAGTAAAACGAGATCCAAATTTATCACTGGTCTTGAGTTTAATGGTTTAAAGGTTTCTTTTTTCATTTAAGTAATACCCGTTGCCATAATTCAAAGTAAATTAGTAAACAGTGTCAAAATATTGACTTCGTTCACTATTTTGTATTTATCTAAAAAAGGATAATAACTATACCAAAGAAGAGACTGGAGGTCAGTATATTCGAGAGCATGTATCCATCCTTTATATCTCTCAAAAGTACACCTTCCGAAATATATGCTGATGATGTCCAAAAAGGCAACGAAAGCTATACGGGTTAAACATCCAGCTCAGAGAATCCAATATCTACAAAAGCAGTTTAAAACTCAGCAAGGATGGGTTGAGTGTTCAGTTATATTAAATGTTGATTAATTGCCTAATTTTTAAAATCAATATTTACCCAATATTCTTCACTATATTGATTTATATCGGTTATGAAAAGCCGTTTATCAATGTTTAAACACAAAAAAATATAGCACCATGATAGGCAGTAGTCAGTTACTAATATTTTATAGTATATATATATGCCTTTTAATATTTTATCATGCGTATTGTTGTGTTTGTAATCGTAAATATTTGTAATAAGGAGAGTAGATATTGTTAGTACTGATCCTGGTTATACTTTTCAAATTTGACGACACATCAAGTCGTCAGCGTATAAATGCATATGTATACATATCTGATGTTATCAAAATAAGTATTTTGTGTACTGGTGGGACTTATGCAGTTGTTTACTTGAAATTGACTGTAGTCTCATAAACACATACTTTTTTATCACTGTTAATATGATTTTCTCTCTGTGTATTCTTTCTAGCCTTTTTTATATAGTTGCTTAGTTCTGAGATGTTTCGTAACTAAATTCAGCTTCTTACTAAACAGAAATTTACAGTGTTATCAAAAACAAAGTTATACTAAGTGAAATCATGAGCTTATAGATGTTAGACCACAACTGAAAATCTGGAAGTATTGGAAGACTGTTTCCTCCTAATGTGAGGCTCTTCAGCAATATGCATTCACGATTTCACACGCGGGACTCGAACCCACAACCTTCAGTCTTGAGCTACTCCAGTGAGACCAATCTTAAGGAAATACGATATTAAATCTACTTGTTTAATGTCATACTACAGGATCCCTTTATTGTAATTTCCAGTCAAATATGATTTGTTTAACTCATAATCGTTTAGTTTACATTGATACTTATTCCATTGAATTTAAGGCACTTTTCAAGTAAATTTACTAATTAGTTTCTAATAAATGTTCATGCTACTGTAAGTCCATATTTAGTGAAGATACACAAAATCAAATTATTCGTCACTGTGCTTCCTTGATTTATCTCTGAATTAAATATTAAACTATTAGGCTTAAAACTAAATGAATTAATCTTGAACAACATTAAATCATACACGTAAGTAAATCCCAGAAGTTTAGTTGTAATTTCACTCCTATTTTAATAGTTTTGATTATTGAAAAGGTAGGAAATAGACTTTTAGTTAGGCAAAGTAACCGACAATTACACTATGTTAAGGTTCTTGTTACATTACTTACTTACGCCTCTTACCCCTCGTTCAGGAGCATAGGCTGCACACCAGAATTCTCTATCCAACTCTGCCCTGGGCAGTCCTTTCCAGTTCGTTATTCATTCTTTTCACATCTGCTTCTAGTTCCCAGCATATTGTATGCTTTGGCCTTCCTCTTTTACGCTTCCCTTCAGGATTCCAAGTTAGGAATTGCCTCGTGATGCAGTTTGGTGATTTCCTCAATATATGTCCGATCCACTTCCAACATATTTTCCTAATTTCCTCTTCAGCTAGAAGCCCGTTTGTCCTCTCCCATAAAACACTGTTGCTGATAGTATCCAGTCAGTGAATGTTGAGTATTTTGCGTAAACAACTGTTTATAAATACTTGTACCTTCCTGATGATGGTCGTATTAGTTCTCCACGTTTCAGCCCCATACAGTAGGACTGTCTTGACGTTCGTATTGAAGATTCTGACCTTGAAATTGGTTGATAGTTGTTTTTAGTTCGATATGTTCTTCAATTGTAGGAATGAGGTCCTTGCTTTGCCAATCCTCGCCTTTACATCTGCATCAGATCCTCCTTGTTCATCAATGAGTTACTGCCGGTCTCAAGCCCGGGTAAAGGAGGAGGGTTGGCCATGGGGTTAGCGTTCCCATCCCGTAGAAAACTAACCCGCTCAAAAAATGCTTCTTGTTACATACTGACATGAATTATTTTACTGTTTACAATTTTCTTGCTTCATTATAATGATGGGTACTAAGTGCTTAGGGTGGGTTTATATATTTGCTGTAGTATAATATGAATTTACATATCTACCAACGTCTGTATCGTCACACAATGAGTGGTTCATATGTATTATGTTCGATATTCGTTCTGATTGCCCGTTTATTCGACTTTGAGAATAATTGGACTCAAAAGCTATTAAACGCTTTATTCCAAGTATGATGAAAATTGTCAAGAGACTCCTGAAAATCTAAAATAATGTCTACAGAAAGTTAGAACATCACTGCAGAAATTATTTTATGCGTTCATATATCCACACAGTTATAAAAATACAATTAGCGATTTCTATGGTTATCTGATTTCATGATTATTGTCATAGTAAGGAGAGAACACTCATTTAAATGGTCCAAAGCACTAGCTAATCTTTGTCCAGCACGAATCCACGGAAATTTACATCAGTAGCTTTGCATCCGCTGACTGAGGTGAATCCAGTTTTTATGACTGAAAACTTTCACAAACCGTACACCTTGGAATTTTGCCGATCACCTTTAGCTATCTGGAATTTTGAGTTGATATCCAGAATGTTGGCTACGTCGGCATTCTTTAGTGATGCCTAATGATTATCTTTAAAGAGAGAATATGATAGTAATCACATTTTAAAGAATGAGTAATTCTGAAATAGCTAGCTGAATATTGAATAACTCAACAACAAAATTACTGCTGATCCTGACTCTGAACGAAATGCAATTGATTTTCACCGTCAATATGAACTTCTTTAAGATATCATAGATAATGACTCTCAAAGTATGGAGTTTGGTCTTAAATCTTGCCTTCGATTATGTCCAGTTATTGTATAGTTCCATTAAGACGAAACTGTATTAAATTATTATTGTGTAACCGATTTGTATGCAATAACTTATAATGAATAGCTAAAAACTTTTAAGAATAATGTCTACTACAAGTACCGAGAAATAAAAGTATGGTATGACAAGAAAGAAACATCATCATTATCAGTATTATTGCATTGGATTCTGGTATATGGATGAACTGGAATATAAAAAAGATGAGTGGATAGTAAACAACAAGTAGAGTACAAAATATGTGCCTTAATGTCCCTATGTGATTTTATAAGTGACAGCGCTTACACAGATTGACACAACCATTTACGCCTAATAAGTGGTATGTCAGATTGTAATTATTGAGATTTTCGAGCCTATTATTTAGGAACTTTTCGAAAGGACAACGATTACTTTGTTAGCGTCCTTATTCTCTAATTTTAATATGAATACCTGCTATTGAATGATATATTTGTTTGTTGTGTACATATACTTAGAAGCATGTAGCTATGTGTTTTATGTATCAAAATTAAGACCCGTTTATCATTTTATAGGCACATAGACGTAACTTACAGAAAGATTGTTTATTTATCAGAATGACTATACTAATGTTTCAAGTTATTCACACTCAACTCCACCCCTCATTGAAACAGAGAAAAAAATATGAAAAGAATAAAAGAGAATGAGTAAATAAATGTCACGTGATTAATCTAGCTTAGCAATAGCATACACAAATCCGCACAAAAAACTATGGTTCAAACAAATACGCTTATATCATTTATACAGAAGCAGTAACTTCTGCGTCCATATGTGTAAGCACAATTCTTGAGAAGTAATGTTTCTCAAAAGAATACCTAGATAAGGAAGCTGTAGAAACGCCGACTCCTACTCTTTGCTCACCTCGCCGCTTGCTTTACGGTTATTCATATCCTACTTCTTATTTTTCATCGAAGAAAATGTATTCTATTGAAACGAAGAGCGTATATGATAGCAATAGGAAAAAATGACAGGTCAGAGACGTTGCAAATGTAAACTAATCAGTAGCCGCATTATTTATACAGTTTCCTCTTCGACCTGGTTTTATCGGGTTCCTATAATAGTTGTAAAAGCAATATCCAGCGAATTCCACTATGAAATAGTGTGTTTGCATACATATGTGTATGATGTCTTATAGTTTGTAAAATTGATCATTTATTGGACGAGATTAAAGTGTGAAATGAAATAGTCTGGGAAGATTAAAAAAAGCCTCAGTATAGAAATGTTTATTTTAACAGAATTGGCGTTTGAAATAACACTTTCCGTTCCATGTAATCGAATTATTTTCATATAGTTATATGAACTTCACCTGACTCAGGTAAAATTGATCTTTTAGTAGTGATCATTATGGTTATTCGGTAAATGCAACCTTTTTCAATATATGGGAAAACTTTAAACCTTTCTACAAAAAGTGATGGTATTGTAAAAGCTTACTAAGTTTGTATTTAGCAATTAGGGTTTACACTCACTTTTGTAATGGAATCCTCACGAAGAACCTCAGATTAAAACAAAACAGTTCTTTAGAGTTTGCCCGTTTTAAATAACTCTATGGCTGATCCCAATGTGTTATAAAGAGGAATCAACCATAAACCGAAAATCCCTCCATAGATAATTGGTTACATTCTCCAAACGTCGATATCTGATTATTGCATTAAAAACATTGATCGTGAAATAGTGCAATAAAGTTGAACTACTTCCTACCAGGTATAACAGTCACATGCAGTGATCCATTAAATCACTTGATAGTTTCATTGTTTGACAATAAAATATCCTACAAATAATCTACTTTTAATAAATAGTAACGTATCACCTCATATTTACCATTGCTCACAATTCAATTATTGTCCCTATGACACTATGATTTGAGTAGATGCTATCCAACCACAATCTAAAATATAGTTTTTCCGAAAACTCATATTATTATGAAAAAAACAAATACTATACAAGAATCTATTCTTTTCAAACTGTCGAACAACTTCGGAATATCAGTTTGCTTTAATTCATTTGGCTGGATCTAGTTAGTGTGAAATATACAGCTTTCTGGAATAGATCTTAGTCAGTACACTTCTAATAAACTGATTATAGCTGGATATATTTTTGACTTTTAGAATATTTATACCTGTCCTCACTTATTTTGGATAGTCGAAGGTACATTGAAATATAAATCTACACCGAACACCATTTAATGTCCTGAACAATTGGCAGACCCGTTTGAAATTTCACACTCTAGAAATATGCAAGTACATATCGCATACGTGTTTGTGTCTAACCCCACTGGTACCAAATAAAATAATTTACCACTGTTCTTTTCATAAAAAAACGTTTGCATGATATCTACTACTTATAAACTATAAGTAGTTTCTTTGTTGGTTCCTTAGTGAAACAATAAAAAGTAGCCTCATAAATAGTCATTGACTTCGTCAGCATTAGTATGCTGACTAGTAGGAAGGACTTTATTTAACGGGACATTTTCTACTATTCTAATGTTTTTATATTCTCTATTGAATGAAGTCCTGAAATAGCAATTATTTGCTTGCTTTAATAAACATATAGCATATGTTGTTGTCCCACTATAAACGGAGTTTTATACAGTCTCGGTTTTCCTCTGTACGTATTCATTTGGGTTGTATGTTTGTATCTAAATATAGGGATATGTCAGCATGTACTCACTACAAAGTGAGGTGGTATGATTTAACATATATATTCAGCATTAGAAGAGTACGGAATGAGAATCCATAATTGCTGATTTATCGCTATTATTGTTTCTTCAGTTTTGTTTTATACTTCATTCGTCTCCACCCTCGTTAATAAACCATATCATAACCAATAATCAAATAAGAGCAAAATTTGTATCTTAGGTCATAACAACAGCAACCTTGTCACCACCACCACACTAATCATCACCGCCCACTTCACCAAATACATGAAGTTCATTTTTCTGTTTACTTACTTGTACTGATAAGCCGAGCAAACACGACAATGACAGCGGTCACAAATCTCAACCATGTCGATGCAGATATATATATATATATATATATATATATATATATATATGTTTGCATATTTTCTTGTATTTTTCAGCGAGTTGCTTTTCTATTTGTCGTTTACTTACTCCACCACCGTATTTTATCCCTTATTATGTGAATAAATTAGAGTGAGGTAGAGTAGCTAGTGAGTACGTTGATTGGTAAGTTAGTTAGGTAAGTAGACATTAAAATCGTAAGGAAAACATTTAGCCGAAATAACAATCAGGTGGACAGATGAATGATGTGTTCTCTATAGGAAAATATATTTTTATAGTTCGATCTAAAACGCAAGCATATTCATGCTTATGTTTTGTTTTTGATTTACAAAAACAAGTTTTTAAATTGTTATTACTATTGCTGCAACAGCTTGCGTTACTCACTATAGTTGTATGTTTATTTTCATAACGTATGAGTACATAAAATCTCTATTTATACAATGTGGGTGTGTCTGTTATGTGCGGAACATGGAAGGTTGCTTGCTGAAGTTTACTGAGTTAGAATTAATGATACTAATATTAGAAAGCATTATTTACAAAACTATCAATCTTTTACGTTCTCTTGTGATAGATGGAGCGTAAGGTCATATACTCTGTCTAATATTTTGTGACAGAAATAATACTTTGAAAATAACCTAACTACAATGACTGTTTCGTGTTGTAATTTTTTGAGGATGAAACTACTTTGAACGTAATTATTGAAATCAACCGAATGATTAGAGAAATGAAGAGATCCCTTTAAAAAAAATATCCAGACGAACAAAAGACACTCAGTAATATGGAGGATGGATTGGACTGGTTGAGTTAATAAAATAGCTCCTAGCTCAACGAATATTTGGTTATGCTCACATCATGAGAGCTTACTGACCAATACTGAGGTTGATCAAATCAAAATATTCCAATACACCCCAGTAGTTATTTAGATAATATTAATCTAAGAGAATGACTGTAAACTGTGTTTATCTTGATATTATTTAACAAGAAAATATAGTTTTGTCTAAATTTTAACTGGGAATGAAACCAAAACATTTCATGAAATCGCTAAGTATGAACATAATTATTCGCTATCAGCATTTTCGAAAACATTGATCCAAGAAAATGATAATGTTTGGCGGATAGGGAACTTTTGAAACTAAAAATCCTTTTTGTGAAAAAGAATTCATGAATCTCAGTTAATAAGGAAGGTAAGATTCCACCTTGATCATTATTGAGAATCTATGTGTCAATGCATCATAAACCCTTTATAACATGTTTCTATTTGTAGTGTTTATCATAATACTACCGTTCACTAGTTTTACAAGTGAGAGAAGCTTCTTTTTAAATGTAACACAAAACGTTTTATTTCGACCAAATGAAATGAGACAAACACTCATATATGCATCGTTAAGGAAAGTTCGAAATAATTGAACAAGGGTTTATGATTATATATAATTCGATCGAACCTATATAGGTAGTCAAATGGGGAAATACTATTACAGTTCTATAATGAAGTTTGCTGAATGTTCTGTAATTGAACATTTTTTGTTGGAAAATTCGAATAAAAATTCCAACCTTTTTTTCATTTCAAAGTATACCAATGGATCACAAGGGGGTTTCGTGGAGATTTTAGTAATTTTATATAGTTAAGATCATGAGTCAATTGAAGCTAGACTACTATGCAAAGCCTGGAAGCACCGGACGGCCGTTTCGTCCTATTGTGGGACTCCTCAGCAGTGTGCATCCACGATCCCGCCTAGCGGGATTTGAACTCAGGACCTACCAGTCTCGCGCCAGAGCACTTAACCGATAGACCACTGAGACGGCATCCACCGGTGTTAATGTCTAACCTAAACCAATGCACGAAATTGCGCGACCAACTTCCATTGTATTAAGGTGGATACCTGTCCCTAAATGACATGGATTAGCTCCACTGGCCGCGACCTCTCACTAGAACTCCAGGAATTACCTCATGGAACTAGTCACTAGTGAGCATATGGTCCTGGGTTCGAATCCCGCGAGGCGGGATCGTGAATGCGCACTGCTGAGGAGTCCCACAATAGGATGAAACGGCCGTCCAGTGTTTCCAGGTTTTCCATTGTGGTCTAGCTTCAATTGACTCATGATCTTAACTGTATAAAATATACCAATAGATATTCTTTCTCTTAAAATATGTTTTCTTTGATAAAACAACTAACAATCAAATCTCAACTACTGTTATTGTTTCCCACAAAAAAATCTTTAAAAAAATGTTTACAAGCTCCTCAGTGTGTACAATGTGGAACAGTTAATATTGAAAATCAACAGTGGGTTTTTGACAGAATTACTGAACTCTATCTATGCAATGAATGTAATCAACAAATCAACAATGACAACAATAGAATTAAGTCCACAAGAAAAATGAAGCATGTACCAAGTATAAATGTACCAGCTGATAAAGCTAAGCCATTCTTTGATCCACTACTGAATTATTGTACAAGGAATAGAAATCGATCAGGTTTAGACCAAGATAATCGGAGTTTGTCTTTTCTCATATGGAATGATGTCAAATCTTACTCTAACGATCCTTCATTTATATTCAATCCTACGAACAATTTAAATGAGATAGGTAAGCTGTTGGTTTCTCTTTTGGAAATTTTCAAATTTTTGGTGGTATGTTGATGCTTTTGCTTAATGCGCATAAATATTTAATATCAAGGTTTTCGCAATAAGAAATGCATATCGGTACGGATGAGCACTCATGTTGTCACACAGTGTTCGTACAAATTTTGGTAACAGTTTATTTACTTACTGTTGATAATGTTTCATGAATAGCCACTGCTAGTTATTTGAGATAAAATAAGCAACAAGATTAATGTAAAAATTTCTGAAAGACAAGAATTAGTCAAACCTTTCATTGATAATAATAATAATAATAGGATTGTATCTGAAAAGCATCAAGTCAGGTTAAATATTATGATGACTGAAACATTGATATATAAGGTGTTTATCGAATTTAAGGTACAGCTATCTATGAAAATCATTTGGCCAGGTTCAAATGATCTGAAAAAAATGAAGAGACTAGAGTTGAATTCCCCCTGAAACATCGTGGATGAGCTTGGTTCAAAATGACTGTTCCAGGTCTGCCCACCTAGATTTACCTAAAGAAACCTGTATATCATCATGGGTGGTTTTTAACTGGTGTATGAGTTGCTTCTCAATAGTTGTTTTTTATAGTTTGCTAACCCCTGGAATTATACTTCAACTTCCTGTTAAGGTGTGTTTTCCTCTTTAATTGTCTAATATATTAGTCCGTTAGATAAAAATAAGATTGTTACAGTTACTATGATAATAATGATAATTATTAGACGACTCATTATTCAGCGCTCTAATATTTATACGTGTATTAATCTTGTTTAATTTTACCTAATGGCGGTTAATTTAACCTGAGAGTTTTTGAATACATTTAATGAATACGGTATAAAGCTTAATCATCCTTTCTGAAATCATGTCCTGGTATTTGTGGTTTAAATCTTCGTTAAATTATTTATTACTCCTTCTATAGTTATATATGTTCACCGAAGAGGTGTGTGAAACAAAGAACAGTGACAATGATAACTGTAGGCGACAAAAAAGACTGTCGAAACTATTGATAAAAACAAATACTCAAACATAGTAAGCAAAGATGGATAGTGGCTAGTAGTGGTATCCAGGACGCGTGTTTTGTCTTATTTGGGACTCGTCAGCTGGATGTACCTGCAGGGTGAACATCAACTCTGAGATGCAGGTACATCCAGCTGACGGGCCCCGTATAGGACGAAACGCGTGTCCTGGATTCCACTGCTAGCCACTATCCATCTTTGCTTACCATGCTTGTGAATTTAGGCTATATCGAGGCAATACGCACAGTATGCACATATGCCAATTAGAGACTGACCAGTTGCAGTCCTAACACATCGATGGGAAGATTCAAACGAACAATACTAAATGAGTTTAAATACTCAAACACTTTCTTCAGGCCATAATTTGTGTTAAGCTGTTTGATATCAAGCATACAGGGTAAAGTGGTTGCGATTTCCTTCCTAGAGAATTCGATAACAAATAAGTATGACTTACCGGTCGGTGAATAATTCACACATCGCTTCACATCTTTTGTTAGAGATCGATGGGAAGATTTTTGAATTCGTAGTTCATCTAAAAGGTCACATTTAAATGCTGAACTCTTTTAATTAACACTGACCTACATGTAAAATTATGATCTGTTTATTTATTATGTTTTTACGCTCCTCATCAGATAAACACTTGCAAATACAATCACCTCAAGAGATTTCAAATTATTCTTCATGGTCACAATATACAACGAATGTGATGAAGGATGTGGATGTTACTAGGGAACCAATCGATTCAATACATAGTGAAGTAAAGATCTCAAAGTCATCTAACCCAGTAAGCCCTGGATTTTTTCTTTAGATTTTTAGAGTGATTGTTGAATAACCGTGTTACATAATTGAAGGAATAATATAAATAATCATGCTAATTTATTGTGAGAAACAGATCTTTTTAGCATTAATGATTGAATTGTGTTAAGGATTTTATTCACTTTCATCAGAACTATGTAATATGAAAGCATGGAACATGTAATTGCGCATTATTAAGCTTTTGATACTACGTAGAAGTAATACAAGGTGTAAGTTGTTAGTTTATGGCAAATTATAACTATACTACTTGCATAGATCACAGAAGACATCGTGAACTTTCCTCATTGTAGCAATTTACTAATAATTAAGTAGGGTATCACAAAAAACATTCTGGAAAGTATAATTATATTTCAGGAAATGAAATAACTGTGGTGAAGGTCTCTAGTTTTTAGCTTAAAGGTGAATCAATTATGCAACATAGAAAACGAATCCTATTATTTATCAAATAGTAGATTATCCTCTTAGAGTGGAATACAATCTGATAATAAAATCAGTTACGTTAATCTCTAGAGAGTCAGGTAGCATGACAATCTATTGAAAAAAGGTGCTTGCTGTTCAGTATGACTTCTTATGACATTTCAAACTTAAAGTATGATCATATTGTAGTGAAGGATAACACAAGTGGGGTCAATCGATTTTTCCTGAACACAAAGTTAAAGAACATCTTAGTAAAATCTGAGAACCATACAGTAAATAATTCATCTGCAAAATATCAATCAATAGTCTCAGAAATCATTGTTCCTTTGTCTACACAGCAATCCTTCTCTGTTCTCGTCCTCTTTTCTTCGATCTTCTTAACCTTCCGCCACAAAGCATTTCACTTTCAACTGATGATACATACCACTTATATCTGTCGATATCAGTAGCACACACCACAGTATCAGTTGTCTACGATGAATAGCTTGATAAACCGTAATTATTAGTTCAAAGACAACTCAATAAATGTTTATTACCAATCCTATTTGATATGGCTTTGAGTATATTCAACGCCAGTTTTCAATCTTTAGTTTACGCTAGCATATTTAATTTAAAACTTTGTTTATTCGAATGAGTTTTGATGTACCCCGTATCTCATTTTTCATCTCAAGTTATTCTCGGTTAATTCCCGCTGAAGAAAAATATACTGAGATATTTTCATTTATCAATACCTACTGCTAATTTATAACTGTCAGTAAACGGATTTTAATAATGCCATTTTTCATGGATTTCTATTGAACAGTAATGTAGTTGAAGATGAATAGTGGCTAGCAATGGAATCCAGGATGCGTAATTCGTCATGCTAGCCACTACCCATCTTTGCTTATAAAGCTTGTAACTTCAGGTAATATCGAGACAGTCCACACAGGATGCACATATGCCAACAAGAGACTGATCATTTGCGGTCCTAAATAACAATGGGAAAATATAAGTAAACAACACCAAGTGAATTTACTGTTGTTGATTCGAAAAATCTTGTTAAACTTCCTTATATTTTGATATTTGTTATAGCAGTTACAACTACTGTTTACAAATACTTTACATGATCTATCATTTCTTTTTTATAATAATCAGTTAAATATACCAAATTCTACACGTCGTTCAGGACAATTTTGTACCAATTGTAATACATCCGCAACTACCCTATGGCGCCGTAACACGGAAGGAGAACCAGTTTGTAATGCATGTGGACTATATTATAAACTGCACAAGGTTAGATAAAAAACGTTCGTAATTGCTTTAACCCACTTTAAAGCAAAAATAAGACTTAAGAATCGTGGCACTGTATCATTATATGGTTGTTGGTTTCTCCACACTCGATGGAACAAAATCATATGTTTTCGATATGCCTGATACAATATGTCTGGAAACTTATCCGCTAGGAAAAATATATATTGTCTAATGAATATGTGGATTAAACTATTTAGTTTCTTGATGAAACTTCAGGACAATTCTTAATAGATTTATCAGAAATTTAGGGCTGTTTGTGAAGATAAAGAATTGGTGAAAACAGCTCGTCGTTTGGTAGATCTAGTCTTCAGATAAAACCTATGAAGACTTTAAGGAGAGCTCAAGGTAAACCTGATCATCAACTGCTCTATTTAAAACATAGAATGTCGAGGTCTAAAATGTCTTCTGATATCCGATTTATTGTCCAAATGGTTCCTGAATTCGGGAAAGTCGTCTTGGCTTACTACTGTAGCAAAGCATTCATGTTGAGAACATCTTATATAAAAATCATAAAACGATCGGGTAGCTGAAAAGCTGACTTCTAAAGACTTGTTAGGATGTTTTAAATAGTGAAAGGGAGATGAAACGACTATACTTTCACAAATCAAAGTAATTCAAAAGAAACGAGATTGATGTCCTCTAAATTTTGTGAGATGAAGTTTGTATGATATTAGTTTACTCATTTATTGGAAACCCTATGTACTACCTCCAAAATGTAAATTGAGTACTGTAAGAAAGACATAGCTGGCTTTATCGATCGGCCACATGAATGGTTACCTTTTATCTAGCCAACAAAGCCAAGCTAACGAATACCAAGTTATTGTGAATACTCCATCGATTTGATAGAATTATCGGAATTACTGAAATGGCCTAACCAATAATTTATTGGCTGAACCAACTGATAAATTTCAACTGAAAAGATATCCGAAGATAGAACTACCATTCAAATGACTAGACGTATTATGAAGGGACTAAAGAAGAGTCATTCTCATCAAAAGTAATAAGTAAATCGCCATATAATAAACGATTAAACAAAAATGAGTATAGAAATCACAAGGGAGCCAATGAAACTTAATCTCTACTGGTAGCGAAATAAAGTGGCATAAATTTCTCTTTATAAATACAAAGCTGGAATAAATTTTTGAATGAATGAATTCTTGGGATGATTTGTGATTTATTAAGCTGATATATTGCATTACTTCTCAGCTAACACAGTGAAACATATAAAATTAACTGATTCAGCACCAATATTATTCTTTAAAAGAATTCCTCTGCTTTTAATGAATAAAAGTGTATTAGGTAACGTTAAGTATTCTATGGAGATTTTTAAGTAATTTTTATATACAATTGAAATCATGAGTCAATTGAAGTTAGACCACAATGGAAAGCCTGGAAGCACTGGACGACCGTTTCGTCTTATTGCGAGACTCCTCAGCAGTGCGCATCCACGATCCCGCCCCGCGAGATTCAAACCCAGGACATAATGATTCATAATTTACTCGTATGCTTTGTTGGGATACGTTGCCTGGTTTTGTATACACTTTTAAGTTACTGAATATTAAAATAGTAGTTAAAAATGTGAGAAAAAATTCAATCGAAACATTTGTTCAAATTTTGACTACTGGAAGAATATTTTGCCGATTGAAGACATGTAAACGATTGCTAGTTAAAATCTTCTTTTGTGAATCGATATGAAACTATAAGTCCAAAAATCAATAAGCAAGTTTCTTCATGGCCACTAATACAACACACGTAAAAAGATTCAGGTTGATAGGATGTGATAAAATGCGTAGAAAGATTTAAACACAGTGAACGTGATCAAAGGTATCACCATCCTATGTTATCATTGTTATCACGCTGTCTCCGAAAATACTTTAAATGTGACTTATCCACTTCTAGATAGAATATTAAGCCTATAGTTAAGACACAGTCCATCATTCTCTTATAATACTCCAAGTTAATAAAAATAAAACAGTTAATTTATCGGATTATCAATATTTCTTTATCTTAGTGATGTTAAATTTATCGCTAAAAATGTTATCTAGAAAAGACCACTCAATTTAATCAAAACTATCAAAAATATCTAAATGAGCTGCACATTTAGTTCCATTGATGATGAGTCTGATATCCCAGTGTAACATGAATCATAAGAATTTCCAGTTTTCTAGTATTAATTCGGCTTTAAAATTCAGTATGATATATATATATATTTCTCTAGGAAGACAGAGGAAGATAAAAACCTGCAAGGTATTTTTCAAACTAAACATTTGACTTTATTAAAACATGGTGTTAAATAAGTTCAATCATGAATTTTATATTTGGATTTCTTATTCATCCGAATAAATGTGGTCATTTGTTTCGAAGAATACTTTTGGTCTGTGATTAATAATTTCCTGAAATATTTTCCTTTTTTACTACCTCAGATAAACCGTCCAATATCCATGAAGAAAGAGGGGATTCAAACTCGCAAGAGAAAGCCAAAAATGAACACACTAAAATCTAATCAGTTGTATGTAACAAATTCCTCTCGAGGTTCTGGAAAATTTTTAAACAAATTAGTGGCGCGTATGGATGGTTCTAAACAGGTGAGTTTTTCATTGATAATAGACATCAGTACGATATTATATACCGAACTGTATAAACCAACAGATGTTATAAACACAAACCAGATAGGCGGTTGAATCCAATGAGGAAGAAAACCTGGACCTAGGTTTTATTCTAGTTGTCACTTACTGGCAAAGTGTATCTTAAGTCTTAATTTGTATTGTAACTCAACTAGTCATTAATAACGAATCTGACTATGAATCTGGGTGATAGGCGTTCTCAACGTGTGTAGAGTATGATTTCCTTGGTCGACGAACTAGACTTTTTCCGATAAAATCGAAATGCCTAAACGACGCTAACACAGAAGTAAACGTGATTGTATATCATTTAACATATAAGCAACTATAGGTCTTTCTAGTCACGTCAACTTCATCAAGAAATAACTCGAGATTCTCCTGCGGTACCACTAGCGAAACGGTAATCATTCTGGTTTTCTTTGTCGTGTACTTTACAATCTTATTTCATGTTAGTTAGATAAATACTATACTGTGGTTCTACATTGAAACCCACGAAGTCTTACATTGATAATAAGTGTAAGTCCATAAACTGACAGTTTGGTGATGCTATTATTATTGAATCAATATCAGTGCTGTCTTACAATAAGTATGAATGAAACAAACGATTTTCGGTGTCATGTTAGTGACGTAAATAAAGAACGAAAATGATATAAGCTGATACTCGCAACAGAAGGCCCATTTGGCCCACTGATTCCTACGTGTACACTGATACCTCTGATGTCAGTTGATTTTGATAGAGTTTTGTTCTCTGAGCTGGATGGTTTGGTCTTGGAGCTTTCATCGTCCTTTTGAACGACATCATCAGAACAAGCTTCGGGTAAAAGTGGTGTTCGAATTTCTCCACATGTGGTTCGCAGCTTGTCCTTTACACCTCGATGTTAACTGGTTCCTGTTGACTTTAAATCTGTCATTGTTTACTTCTTTGTTTTGGTTGTATCTTTTATTGGTTTGATAGGAACAAAAATCAAGAGGTATCTACTAAATCAAGACCATATACAACGATCCCTGTAACGAGAGTGTATTGATTTCAGAGATAAGTGACCCCAAATCAATACTTCTGTAGCATATTTCATTGATAATATAGATTTCCCAATATAATTCATATACTATTCATTAAAGCCTATTAAATAATGGGTATAGCTTTTGTTAGTCTCTAGACAATACCTGACTCGAATTATTGGGAAACTACCAATCTGTAGTTGCTACAAAGAAATATCATGTTCAAACGAGCCCAAGTAATGGATTAACAATAACACGAAAGCATTGCTATATCTTTACTTTTCAATGTATAAACTAGTTTCAGATATCATCAGTTGCAATTTTAAGATAAGTTCAGCTTTTATTAAAATTCACCAATAATAAGATTTCCTTAGGTGGTAGATTCATAACATTAATGATGAATTACCCTCTGTCAGGTGATTTAGCTGCACATTGTTTAATAATGAGGATATGATAAAAAAACATTACTGTGGAAAAAAGTTCTTTGAGATAAGATAATGTTTATACCAATCCGATGTTTAATAGTCACCTACATGAAATCAATTTTTCTTTCGTATAGCTTTATAACCAATCTCCATATAAAACCAGGCATCATCATATTCCTTACCAAGGAACAGAGGTTGAAAGTCACCATTCTATTCCACCTAGATTTTTAGCTTTCCCAAATTTGTTTTATGATGAACAAAGCATGAAAAAACAAAATTTGGATGAAAACAAATCGAATACATTGGATTCATTATTTCATTCTCACTCATTAAATGAAGTTCATCCAATGCATTTTACAGCACGTACTCCGCAATTTCCTCCACCTCCTCATCCCCCACCAGTCTCACCATCTCATCATCACCGAGCGAATATACACGAACCAAACAATTCAGTTAGCGATATTCACTATAACCAAAATGGTGACCAATTTGAAAATACTGCGATGATGATCAATCGGTTACCGATATTGAATAAAGTAACTGGAGAGAATTGTATAAATTCATTATTAATCTGGTCGAACACATCAAGAACAAACGATGATTCCATGAATACTGTATTATTAACCAACTTTATCGAGTTAGACAATAATCGTAATCAGACTATCAATGAAGACGATAATGAGAATAGTAATAATAATAACAATGAGAATAGTGATAAGCACTCCAATATCCCGATTGATTTTTCAAATACAGTTGTCGATTTTATAAATTTTCAATATCAAGAAATCCATGAAAAATCTGAAACTCCAAATTTACTACATCCAACCTTTGAACAGAAAATGCTGGTGACTGACGATGTAGTGAGTAATGAGAAGTCAACAATCTATCATACTGCAAGTTTGGTTAGATGTAACGAAAAAGTTTATAATTGAAATAATAGTATTTTTTCCTGTTGTGATTATTTTGCATAGTGCTATTATCTAAAACAGCCGTAAATGCAGCAACAGTTATAAACAAGCTGGATTCACATTTTTGTTTTCACTTAATAATATGTCTATGTATTTTACCTAGTCACTAGTATACCTTCTAAAGGCGTGTTTAATATACTATCCCCTTCTAACTTTTAGTGACCCTGTGTTAATTTTCAAGTGATTGCTCATTAGTCGAAAATTTCACCTACTAGACAGTGGACAGTATTTACATATTTCTGGTCAACAGATGACAGTAATAATAATTGTGGTGACTACTTAACACTTGAGTGCAATAAATAGCATGGTTATTAAACTCTATTATGAGCAGATAAATGCATATATACGTTTATTTTACTGTATAATTTTATTAAACTTTGCACAGATGGTCATTGTCTATGAAAGAAAACTTACCGTATGAAATGCTAAAAGAAATTCTACAATATTTAGAATGAAAACCATCTTTTTTTCTAAAACTTGTGTCCCGAAATGTACTAATAAAATTAATTATTCTCATTGAAATCGTCAACCAATCTAAGTTACGTAACCATTGAAAGTCTGGAGGCACTGCATGACTGTCTTGCTCCAGTGTGAGACTCCTCAGCATTGCATATCCACGACTCCGCATCCTGGAATCGAATTCAGGACATTCGGTCTCGCGTGAGGAGGCTTAACCTTACAAACAACTAAATAATCATCGTTTTGTGTAAACTTATAAGTCATCTGAAGCATACTAAATCTCTCGATGATTTTACTGAACCTTATTCCACGAGCTATTCATACACGTACTCTTCAAAAGTAACATTAAAATATAAAATTCAGTATCTGATGTATTAATCCATTATAAAATGTTTTTTAAAGTTATTTCTTCGCAAAAGTTTCTAAAATCCTTCAAGAACATAAGTATTTGACTTTGGAGATGAATACAGGTTGAATACTGAAACTTAAAGAATAAGATGCCCTATTCTTCATTGTTTATCTTATTTGTTTCGACCAAATACACTATGGCCATCATACTTAAATTTAGAGCTGTGGTGCATTCGTACAACTGTAGATGCCTGAGTCTTGACCTTGTATCCCTAAACTCGGTTGAAATTCACCAATGTTCAACTAGTCAAATAAACTGTAACATATAAACTAAGATCCAAGAATTATTATTTTCTTCAGTGTGACATATCTACATACATTTATCGTGGTAGGTAACATATTCCTCATTTACCTTCCAAAACTTTTTTGATGTAGCTTTCTTATGTTTACCTTAGTTACATTTTGCAAAACCATATCATGTTTCTCATACACTTTCACTCCTAAAAACTGTCATAAGAAACACACTGTTTTCTGTGTGAACATTCACTGAATAATATAATTTCCATAGTTGAAATGAGAAGGGGATTCATGATTGCAATATGTGCACGTGTGTTAAGCATCATCCAAAATCCAACTGTCTATAGTTTTTTTGGTTATCTTAGAATTAAACAAAACATTTTAAATAGTAAATCTTAAACTTTTTAAAAGCATTGAATATAGGGAACATAAATTACAACTATGTAAATAGTTTACAGTGTACCTGTGTACGTACACGAAGAGCATACTTTCAACAGATAAGGTAATTTTCCGATTTTGGTAACAGTTTGCTTATCTTATCACCCTAGTCATGTTATGTCGTACGTCTTTGTCGAACAGCGAGGGGATAATATTTTTGGAAGGGTGTTTCAAAACTACTTGGAGAGTAGTTTTAGTGACCGGAAATGCAAATATAGTAAATGATGTATTATTTCATTTATGATTAGAAATTTTCGTAAACAGGTTAACCTATTTCTAATTTGCATGAGGAAAGTGAGCAGTTGAGTTCTTACAATGTGATATTGTGTACTGTTAACTAAACAAACAGAATCTCAAAGAAATAACAAACAAAAAATATATTCTATATAGTTGAAATCATGAGTCAATTGAAGTTAGACCACCATGGAAAACCTGGAAGCACTGGACGGTCGTTTCGTCCTATTGTGGGACTCCTCGGTAGTGCGCATTCACGATCCCGCCTCGCAAGATTCGAACCCAGGACCTATCAGTCTCACGCGGCGGGATCGTGGATGCGCACTACCGAGGAGTCCCACAATAGGACGAAACGACCGTCCAGTGCTTCCAGGTTTTCCATGGTGGTCTAGCTTCAATTGACTCATGATTTCAGCTATATAAAATTACTAAAATCTCCACAAAACCCCCTCCCAAAAAATATATTCCTCTGGTAAATATGAATATTAATTATAGAAGGGGTTTTGTGGAGATTTAGTATTTATCATTGTTCCATGGTGGTCTAGCTTCAATTGACTCACGCTTTCAACAATGATAAATATGAATATGCCATTCAATTTAATATCTTCTGGGATATTCATAAACATGATCATAATTTCATTACATCCCCCACTGTAGCAAAAATGATTTGGTAGATAAATTATCACCAAAATGATTATTACAGCCTTTCTGTGTTTAGATGAACACTGCTTCTCACTATCATATAGTTTACTGTGACATAGTTAAATTATCAAAAAAGTAAACATTTTATATACGAAACTTGAACAAAGTTCATGATCATGATATTGTTGGAAAATGTAATGTAAACATTTTGAAATAGTTTTGTGTTTAACAGCCTTAAAACGACAAATTTGAAAATCAGTGATTATCTTTTTAGTGGCTTTCACATTTATCTTTTGTTAAGGTCATCAGAAGTGTAGAATTAGTAGTTACATGCAGCTCTCATTTCAATCGTACATGTATTAGATTAGCTGTAATGAAACTGTTCACTAGACTGAAGGGACAAGAGTTCCATAATCTCAGTAATAAATATGATTTCAGCTACCCATTGAATTGCCCGTATTCACCATATATAGATGTAGAAAATGAATTCCAGATGAGTAGCTGCAGATATTTGAGACGGGTATAGAATACTATACCTATAGTATCGAATAACAGTAGAGACTTATTTTAAGTTGGACTGTTGTGTTTATGAATTTTCCAAAACTGCTCAATGTTCTTATGTGTATGAAAAATTAGATAGGCTAAATGAGTTACTGGGTATACACTCATAATCGAAGAATCCTTACATCTCTATCTGTTCTTGTCTACAAGAAAAACACATATATAGCAAGATTCAAATATTCTGTTTACTGGGCAGCAAGAAAACTGAATTCATCATTATCATCCTCCAATCATAATCGAACTGATGCACCAAAACGAAATTGTGGATTCAGAAAAAGATATTCTAAATTTTTCATGGTCATCTTTATTGATGTGTACACTGTAGGTCACAAGTTAAACGTTCTTTTTCTATTTTCATCGCAACATTAAAATCTTATTAAACTGCTTCGCAATTTGCTCTAGTATAAAGCTATGTGGATTCGACATTTCTTCCGTTTGACTATTTCATGGACAAAAATAATTCATAGGTGAATGTTTAGAATATTCTAGTTTAATCCCTATTGTTATTTATCAGACCATAAATTGGAATTTTCGTTGTTTGTTTTAAATCGAATTGAATAGTGACTAACACTACCATTAATAAGGACATTTCAAACTATTGCGCAATATGTGCAGTATATACGAACTTATTTTACATTTCCACACTAGTAACACACTTAGCTAATAATACACTAGAATGGATTCTAGATAAACTGATCAAGATTATTAATCAACTAAACAATGGATTGTGACGATATGGTCTCCAACGTCTTATACTATTTAATAATGAATATTTTCCCAAAAGTCTACAGTTACGCTTAACAGGTTTCCAATAGAAAAAGTTACAGAACCTCAGCTATGTTGTGAAAAATCACTCATCCACAAAGAAACAGCTTGTCAGTGGTTTTTAGATATCATTTATGCACATTCTAACTATGAGTTAGAACAAAGAGAAAATTGATGGAGTACTATTTTCAATCCCAGTCAAAAGCAGAGAGTACGATGAAACGAACAACTTATAGTAAAATATAACCGTCTACTCAATGGATAAAATTGAATTGAATTAATGATAAGCTTAAGAAATTTAGTTGTCTCCACATAATATCAGTAGTACGTTTGATAGACGACATTTACGTGATGTTTTTATGTAGTCCTGTTGCGGATTGAATACCGACTCCTTCCCATCAATATTCAACGAATGCATTTCAATTTTTATGTCGTTGAAGTTGCATCCTTCATCTGCTATCACTTCAGATTTTTTTTAAAGAAAACCCTATAAGTATCGTAACTTTATTTTGTATAGCCACAGAATTAAAATTATCAACTTTCCATAAATTATAGTGATCTCTTACGGGAGCTTTCAGTGATCTAAGTCTATCACCATAGTGGATGCTGCAAGATTAATCAAGTAATAAGGGGACAATGGCTAATTGGTAGTTCCTTAAAACACTCTTTTGTTTGTTCCCCCCTGAAAAAAGTCACTTCTTTGAAATTATAAACCTAATATTATTTTCTTTTCACATCAGAACTCAACAACTCACGAACAATCAGTAAATTTAATGAATCCACTAGAACCGAATTTTCCATCTCCGTCAAACTTCAGCAATTCTTCAGAAATATAACGGAAACACTATATGTTTATAAAAAAGCTGTTAATTAACCCCTTCCAATGAAAGAAAATCAAAGCAGTTCAAAATATCAAGTGGATGAAGAATAATGCTCCCTCGGTTTTTTTCTGTTTCTGTTGTACATTGAATAGATTTGTGCAGTTTTGGAGAAATCAAATAACTTTCGTCAATTTAACTCGCCAGATTTAATCAGTATGAAAGTAACATTTGATTTGAAATTGCCGATTTTGTTGTCTTATCAAAACTCGCAAATGAATCAAAGTCTTTTCATATTCATTAAAATGAGTTATTTGTTACAGAAACATAAATTACATATAATATTATAATCATCCCTGAACTAAGTCAGTCACCCAGTTAAATAATGAACTTGTTAGAACTTTTGTGATTATTCTATTATCAATAATCAAATGATCATGTTTGTTTTTATTCTTTTGGTTATAGTGTTCTCTTTTCTTTTTGCAATGACAAGTAATAAAATGTAATATGTTCTCTGATAACCAGTGTTTAAAATGAATGATTTGAATAATTCCACAGTAAGGTCTGAACCTTTAAATATATCCCTTGTTTTGAAACGCACTAATCATGTATATATAACAACGTTCGATCTGTGATTTATGAATTCAAGTATTTGAATGAGAACTCTGAAAGGTTTATTACAAATCTTAAAAGTAACTTGTATGAGACTTCCATAAGTCGATAGCACATGGAAAAAAGTAGATTATTTTGATCAGCTACACTATATTTTAACAAATTATATTCAGTTACTTTACCAGTTGAATTAGGTTGAGATAAGGTTCCACCCTCTATTATGATAAGCTATCATGAGGATACTGAAAATGTATTTCAACTACGTCATTAGTCCGAATAGACCATCAGCTAACAATGGAAGTGATCTTTTAGGAACTAATAGTATCTAGTCTATGATGTTTACCATAAATATGCAAGAAAAAGCTTAGGTCTCTTTTTAATTCAATTAAACAACCTTTGTAGCGTTTTTATGAAATGGTTTTATTAAGAAAGTATATAGCCACTGAATGCTGAAATATTCAATTGGTTCAGCTGTTAACTAATCATTTGGTAGTACCAAAATGCCCAACAAAAACAGGATGAAACTTCTGGCTTTAAACTAACAGTTTTCACATAATATAATGGTAAAGACAATTTATTAACATAGGTGACATAAAAATCACAATAAATAAGTTATATTCTCAAAATAATTAGAGAAGGCACCTCGGTTTATAGGGATGATCAAGTTGATACATGAAGGGATATAACATGTAAATAATAAAGACATAAGCGTAAATTATTTGAAAAAGGAATGTTCATAAGTTGATTTTAAGGCACATTTGTTACAAGAATTATAACAATGTGAAGCAACAGTTGGGAACCATCATTTACTCAGTACGTAGTATGGGACATCATATTGAATAGCATGTTAAAGAGAGATTCTAATACCATTACAGCGCGCTCATAACTACTTGGACTATGGAGCACAAAATAAGAACAGAAGACATTGAACAAAAACAGCTAAAATTACTGTGATAGGTTTGTCGTCATTATGGTTGGTTCTTTTGTGACCTACTGCTTTGAATAAATTTTGTTTAAACTGATCAAATTAGACAGTAATGGATAAAATATCAACAAGAAAGGAAGCTTGATAAGTCTACTTAGTAATAGTGATGATCAAACGCTTAATGTCCGCATGCTTTCACCAGTGGAGTGAGATATGGTCACTGGTGTAAACATTTTTAAGGCTACTTCAGAGCAGAGGTAATGATCAATGTAGCGTACAAACGACGTCAGTGATTTAGTTTTACGGACAGACCGTGGTAAAATATTCCCTAATCCCAAACTTTAATTGCAAACTAACTCATTTTGACCGAGTCGATTTAAGATGAAACAATTCTAATTTTGATAGTTACGAGTGCCATAACTCCTTGATTCTTCATATTGTGTTGCATCAGTGGATATAAAAGATTAGATTTAGTTTGTCACCACTTCCATAAAAAATCAATTCCTAGCTTAATGCAACTGGATCCGTAATGCAAGGTGCAATTACTCCCAAGAATCTGAAGTGCATGGCGTTGCTGGATAGATTCCAACCTGAGATTATCCGTAATGCAAACACTACTCAGAATAAAAGTACAATATTCGAGGACTGACCGGACGCATACTTTTTAAATCTAAATACGTGAGTCATTGCTATGGAAATTACTTAGTATACAACCTAGAAGTTAGAAAAACGTTGAGGTCTACGTGGGAGTTTCTTACTCCTAAATCTACCACGGTGAGACCTGGATAGCACCTAACCATTTATGGTGAAGTCGAAATTGATGCATCAACTGTCAGGATGAATCCATCTTCATTTAACAGCTCTTAGTTCGAGATTCCCTTCAGAGCATTATTAGGCCGCTCTAATGAACTCCATACTGATAGTTTCGCATACAGCTAGGCTGAGAAGGAAGTGAATACACAACCGTAAGATCATCTGTGTGTAGAAAAGGTTTATCGATGCTGAAGCCATTACAGATATATTTTACATAAGCTATAAACAGCAAACAACCTAAGACACTACTTTGTGTTACCAAAACTGTGACCAGAAGAGCGTCCGACAAAGAGCTTATTTTAACTACTTGCTATCAACGACTGAGAAGAGAAGAAATCCACTTAAGCAAGAGATCTCTGATCCCACAAGATATGAATTTGCTTATAAGAAGCTGGTTGTTAACTGTGTCGAAGACTTTTTTAAATCTTAAGACGTTATGACTTTACTAATTTGAAGACGTGAAATAGATAGATTGCATAAAGTTAAGGGTCATGTGTTTGATATCTGACCCAAAGTTTTCTAGTGCATTATTGATCGCAAAAATACTACTGAGAAAGTTAGAGTTGATTTCAGAATCATTTATAAACGGACCACTATGTAAGATGCAGGGGATATCTGCGTTTCGAAATGATCCTACGCGTTTACTGAATGGGGGAGCTAAGTTTCGTACTTTCAAACTCTTCATTAATGGTTTTTAACAAGTGGGTTCGTTTGATTTTTTTAACTGCTGAAAAATCATTCGGTTTGAAGTAACATTTTTTCAATAGTTGTAATTTATTAAAACAGTTAATTACTATGAATAAACCATTTGGCTTACCAAGTCTACAGGTTTTCACAGATGCAATGGAATTTAGGTATGAATTATTGATTTTATAAAATATTTCTGGTGAATCTATGAGACAATTGTTTGAAAATGTGACATATTGAGGACGTTCAAATCCGTTTGACGATCTTTCATTCAAGGGCAGCTATGATGACGAACTAATTGGAAAACCACAGTTTATTTCCTCCAAAAAAACGCGAAACAAAGGAAATTATTCAAATTATGACTAAAATGGCATCACTAGAAAAGCTGTTGAGAAATAAAGAAGGGATGAACAGTCATTCCACCTTAGTTTTAAATTACTCGTAAGAGTAAGTCCTTAGCTATCTTTATTTCTCTAACCTACAAAGTAGAGTAGAATCAATCAAATTAAACAGGAATTATCTTCATAAAACATACAAACTGAGGAAGTGTTATGTCAAAAAATTTCTAAATGTATTAGTCTATAGATCGAGTGATAATAGTTTACAATCAGAATTTTTCAACTGATCTAAAGAATATAATTCCCCCAAAAAATTGAGAAACAATAGCAATAACCAAGCATCGGACTAGGTGGAAAATATACATGCTAGTCTCGTAGTAAACTGAAGGGACACAACAATAACAGAGTAAGGTTATATATTGAGACGTGATAAATGGCGCGATACATCAGGTGAGATTCATATTACTTTTCAAATAATAAATCTTAAATTTCTAACTATTCCAACAAATTATTTGTATAGCTTAGTGCTTAAATAACCTTGTGAAACACCAACTTGTAGACAATGCGAGGCCGATCTTCCTTCTAACAACCAGAGCAACGATTAATGCAGACACATGGAATGTCTGGAAAATATGGGAGACTGGGTAAGCCAGTCTAATAGTTTAGTAAGTGAGAAGATACGACCTGGTGATGCTTGGAATAAGTGAAACCCATTGGACGCAATCTGGACAGAAAAACCTAACTTCGGGAAAGGTGCTGATGTATTCTGGTTATAAAGAAAATGCCTCGCACACACAGGGAATTAAGCTGATACTCCCCACAGCGCGGACAGTGCTATTAGGGTAGGGATCTCATAGATCTAGAATTACCAAAACATTCTTAGAAAAAAAGAAGGAAGGGATCATAATGGATGCCATCTAATGCTATTCACCCTCCAATTATGGCAGCGAAGATGATAAACATTATTTTGTGAGGCCGTGGTTAATCGTAGAGGAGTGCTCAAGAAGGGACCTGACCTTCCTGATGGAAGACCTAAACGTCAAGGTCGAAATGGACAACACCGGATACGAAGATATCCTTGAACAACATGAACTGGGAGAAAGTAACGAAAATTGTGAAATATTTGCAAATCAATGTGCTTTCAACAAAATGGTTATAGGAGACACCACTTCCCCCACACACACAAACACATACATAAAGCTACATAGTATTCGTCGCAGTACCCTACGGATAATCAGATCAATCACATCTGCACCACTAAAATGTCCAGAAGTCACATGGAAGATATAAAAACAGAGATGATCTGATATGGATCCAGATCACTACCTATCTGGTGACAGCTAAGAAACACTGGACAACTGAGAAAACAGCCTTCCTGAGAAGTGCCAACAAACTCAGAGAATTCAAGATAGCTCTCAGAAACAGATTACAAGTATTACAAACTCTACTCAAAGAATAGGATACTACCATAGAGAACAACTGGCAAGCGACTAATGAAGCACTAACTTCAATGTGTCAAGCGGTTCTGGGCCACAAGAAGCATCGACATAAGGAATGGATTCCTATTGACACCCTGGGGAAGATTCAAGAAAGGAAGAACAAGAAGATATCAGTTAACGACAGTTGAACAAGAACAGAGAAAGCAACACAGTTACTGAGATTCAAGAACAGAGGAACAGGTGGGTAGAGCTCTTCGAATAATTCTTGAGTAGACCAGATCCACTGAACCCACCGGACATCGAAGCAACACACACAGACCTTCTTATAGATGTCACTCTACCAACAATCGAAATCAAGATGTCCATCAGACAAATCAACAATGGGAAAACTGCAGCACCTGACAATATACCAGCTGAAGCTCTGAAGTCAGACATAGAAGCAACCGCAAGCATGCTTCAGATTCTAGTCGGGAAGATTTGGAAGGGAGAACAAGTGCCACCGACAGACTGGAAAGAAGGATACCTCATCAAGATACCAAAGAAAGGAGATCTGAGTAAATGTGAAAATCTACAGAAGCATCACACAACCATCAGTACCAGGAAAAGTTTTCAACAGTGTTGTTGAAGCGAATAAAAGATTCAGTAGACGCCCGATTCCGTAAGGATCAGTCGTTCATAGCCTGAACTGAGAAACTACAGATCATCGTCACACAATCAATTGAACTGAAATCGTCACTATACATCAGCATCCCTGATAAAGCGCTTGACAAAGTGGATAGGAGAACCCTATGGAACGTTTTTCGACACCATGGTGTACCTGAGAAGATCGTCAACATCATATGGAATTCGTACGACGGACTACACTGCAAAGCTGTGCATGGTGGACAGCTGCATTTCAAGTGAAAACCGGTGTCAGACAAAACTATTTATTCTCCCTCTTTTTTCTGATGTTTGACTGGATTATGAATACCTCCGAATTCGAGGGGAAGCACGGAATACAAAGGACATTTCGGATGCCTCTAGATGATTTGGACTTTGCAAATGACCTAGCTCTTCTACCCTATACACAGCAACAAATGTAAGTGAAGACAGTCGGTGTAGCACCAGCCTCTGCATCAGTAGGTTTCAACATCCACAAAAGAAAAAGCAATCTTCTAAAATACAACAAAGAGAACACGAACTCAATCACATTTGATAGAGGCTGTGGATTAGGTGGAAACTTTCACATACCTGGGCAGCATCACCGATAAACAAGGAGTATCTGATGCAGATGTAAAAACAAGGTTTGACAAAGCAAGGCCAGCATTCCTACAAGTAAAGAATACATGGAACTCAAAACAAATATCAGCCAACATCAAAGTCAGAATTTTCAGTACAAACGTCAATATAGTTCTACTGTACGAAGCTGAAACTTGGGCAGTTTTTACAACCATCATCAAAAAAATACAAATATTCATGAACAATTGCCTACACAAAATACTTAATATGTTTTTTTGCCCCCAAACGCCCTGGTACGACCGAGAGTCCGCTCCCTCTCTCTCGAAATACTCTCACATGGCCACGAGTATATAGCCTCTGTCAGCGAACTCCTACTCATTGCCTTCTCGTGGCGGGGGTGTTGTTCACGAAATTGAGGACGAAAAGCGAATGTCCGGCGCATTAACCGGGTTGGTGAACACTGCGAGTCCACCTAGGGGAGTTGGAAAATCCTGATTCCAAACCAATGGTGCACATGGGCTCCAGTATCCTGAAGGAACGAATGGCATATGGGCCTGTTGTTGGTCACCGGCTACCATGGGACTGCATCACCTTACGATGCTCCACTGCCTTGTGGATCAGACCTTTAGGTTAAAGGCTCCGGGTGTCCATCTAAGAAAACCAACTGCTTCAGTCTAGACACCTGGTCAATATCACAGTCGTCGCACAAATCAAATGAGATTTGTGACGCGCATATATATCTGGTTCCCCTTTGTACCAATATTTATGTGTGTAAACAAATAAATAAAATAAAACCTGGGCAGTATCCCAGCCCTCACACAAATCAAATGAGATTTGTGCGGCGCATATGTATCTGGTGCTTCCTTGTACTAATATTTATCAATCGATTTACATTACATAAACCTAAGCGAAGTAGTCAAGTGTGCAGTTAAGTTTTCCCAATTGCTTTGAATGTTAACATAACGAAATGTAGGCAAATTCCAAATGACTGATTTTCGACATTATAAAACGCTAAATGTATGGTCTAATTTTAAGATGATGGAGAATATTTGTAGCTCAGGATGATGTTAGAGTTGTCGCTATCTCTCAGCTGGACGGAGCTCTCTCTCACACAACCCACAAACCCGCTCACGCTTAAATTTTCGATAAATGTAAACAGCATTTAGACTCTACTTAGATTGTCTCTGAATGACAATTGACTAAAATATTTGAGATGGTCCATTCAAATGTTCACTAAGACCCCTATAACACCTTGTTCTATTTGGTGATATTCCTTATCTTGAATGCAAACAAGCATCACGCAGTAGAAAATAAACAATATAAAGAAATAATTGGGTTGATGAGACAGAACACTGGATTTTTTTAATGTTATTATTATTATTATTATTATCAGTAGTAGAGATAAAACAAGCAAGTTACAGACATTAGCCTTCGATTTTATTTTTATTCAAAAACTAATTTTGTAAATATTGTAAAAAAAGACGGGAAAATTCATGGATGCTCTGAATACATACGCAGAAACAGACGTCGAAGAGCAAATCTGCAAGTGATAGGGTTAAATGAGTTCTTGTTCGTCAGTGTAAGCATGCCAAAATATTCTTGCTATATATATATATATAATCAACCACAACCAGTCGGTTTAACTCAATGTAATGAATATATGTAATAAAGTGTTAGTTAATACAGCTTTGACACTGGTCAATCTGTGTCCATTTTATTGTCATCAAATGATTCATCCTTTTTATCAGCTTTAGCATCTCCAGTAGTTTTCCCTTCCTTTTTATTGTCTGACTTGTCTTTCGATGATTCCTGAGAAGTCACACTTTGGGAGACATTTGAACCGCTGTTATTTGAGGGTTGAGAGGTTGTATCAATCGTTGTTCCTTGGAGTGCATTTGAAAACGCCACAAGGTCTGAAATCGGAATTAAAATTAACTATTAGTCATCCAACTTGTAATCATAGAACAGATCATCCCGAGAAATGTGTCTCCTTCGATTTAGAATGTAGCTGAGATTTAAAAACATGTTGTGAATACATGCGCTTCCATGTGATTGACATTTCTCGTGCGAAATTTTACGACATATATTGCCAACCCGATAATCGATGAGTCGAGTGAGGTTTAAAACAACTCTCTAAAAGTTTGGAATCAAAAGTTAAACCTCGATAATTTCCCAAAGATAATAAACTGTAAAAGTTTTTATTTGACAATTAGTTTTACTTCAATCAACTATCTTTGAATTAACAGAACACACTAAATAGTTAATTGAATAGATAGTTTAGTATAGTTTGCTGAACTGACATTATACCTAACTAATTACAAAGAGAGATGGACGAAAGTAAATAGGGCTGTTTAGGTATAAAACAATACATACAGAAAAAATACATTATCATAGACCACTTGTTTAAGTAAGAAAAACGATTTAACAGGCTTACCACCTCGTCTTGCAGCTTCATCGGCTTTCATACCTAAATTGAATTGAGCCAAAACCGGGGCAAGTTCACCTGTTCGAAAAGCATCTGAGAAGGACTACAAAAGACGAATACAGTGAGGAAGCTAGTTAAGCAACAAAAACGAGTAAAAAGGGAGTGAAAACTTAACAAAAGTGCACAGTGATAGATGCAATAAAATATAACTAGATCTATCGTAAATTAAGTAATTCCTTAAATAAAGGTGTAGATACTTTAAACTTTTAACCAAAGTTTAAGACAGTTAGTGCTATAAGCAAAAAAAAACAATGTAAAGGATTTTGTGTATTATGTAAATAGACGTGAAACTTTCAGTGATATTTGAAATCAGTGTAGTTCTCAAGTCTTCATTAGATTGTTTAAAAATCAAAGTAATGAATTTGAGTATCTTTACGCTAAGCTAATAATCTATAGAGGGTATCCATCCTAAAGAGAAACCAAATGATTGACTAAACTCAATAAGTGGACACCCAAGACAGATATTTTAGTGAATATTTTGATCAACTGTCCCAAACACTGGTCGATTCCCACTCAGGGACAGTCAAAGTTGGGTTAAATGTATTGACTATCAGTTGTTTGAAATTTAGAATACGATAATAACCTTCAGTCTAAGCAAGTTTCTAGGGTGTATTTTGATAATAAGTAGAACCTAGACAAGTGTACAGGTTCTAATTGTCACAGTTCACATCAGTATAACAAGAAATTGATAAGATAAGAAGCTAAGGAATTGAAATGAGTGAAAAATAAACATGAGAAATAAAGTTCAACTTGAATGAAATAGTAAAATAAAAATGAAGGGACAATAACTGAGGCTGTAAAGATTGGTGTACTTGGTTTTGAGCCAAAATTTATGATGTGAAGGAGGGTGATAATCCCTGACAGTCTAGTACCTCGATCAGATTAGTCTACATAATGGCACTGAACCATTATATTACATTCGGTACACTAGATAGTCCATCAATTAACTATGAAGTATTTTTAAGCGCTACAGGAACATATCGTTATTACAATTTTAAGAAATATAGAACAATGAAAACAGTGATATTTATCTACACTTTATAAGGATCGTTTAAAAGTTGGTCGAAAAATATAAAGACTTTGTCAATGGATCAACAATTACTAAAATATTTTTAGCTTCGCATTCAAACTAGTGTTCCAACAAATGTCTAAAAGGAAATTTTTAAAAATAGAGACAGAAAGTGTGTAATTGAATATTCACTGAACAAAAATATAACTCCCTTTTTAATTTAAAATGATGAGATCAATTCGATACTACTTGGGAATTATAATAGTAAGAGTAATTTAAATTGAAACATTCATCAATATTAAGCTATGAAATAGGTGCTTGGTCAACTGAACTGATAACCGACAAAATTATTATTGAAACTAAAGCATATTTAACCCTTACTTCTAAAGTGGTTTTGAATTGAGATGACTGAATGTTTGCAGTAATATTTTCCAGGTCATTTGTACTCGCCGATTCAGGATCCAGAGGAGGAAGATGAGGCAACAATCTTTCTTGAATATCCGGCTTATTCAGAAGTGAGTGTAAGTTATCCACGTTTAAGACGTCATTTAATTCTACCTTAGCATTATTTGCTATAAGCAATAAGAACATTATCAAAAATTAAACAGCATAACTTTGCGAGTAATGTAAAATAATAATTAGAAAACCAATTAAAACAACCACGTATGAATTCATTTTATGGGTACTAATAATTTACTATCTAAGTTTCCGAAACCAGAAGCAAAAGTACTGGCTAAGTGCAATAAAATTTTACTCCTAGTTAATTTAACGTGTAAAGATAGAAACTAACAACAGCAAATATATTTGTAACTTGTAACACTCCAAACCAAATACCACATAACTAGTCAAGATAGATCCTGTAATAAAATTAAACCAAACTACGGTAAAAGATCATTAGTAAGATTAGCCTCCCAGTGTTTTAACTTAAGTGAAATTTATTATCAATACATTGTAAAAAATTATTATCAATCGCATCATTTTAATGGGATACTACCCCTAACTCAGGGTCTGGAAAATGAAAATTTCGTAAATGCGATAAAAATGATTTCGGTGGTCTTGTATTAGTATTCCGACACCAGCCAATGGGTTTTAGGCGTCTGTTATGCCCTAACGCTTCAGGCTCGGCTATTTCGCTTACTACCCTACATATGTGTTGTATGCAGTATAAGCTATATTGCCATGTCGAGCTGGTCTTATGTGAGACTGGAGATTTGTTATTGACATTGTGGATGGTTCGGCATTAATTTGGCAAGTTTTGCTGACTGTTCAAGTGAAAGGTTGGTTTGATGGTTAACCGATTTTATTCATACTGGTGATTGCTTTTCAGTGTTCTCAAGGGCTATTGTCATTGGAGCATTGTAAGGCATGTCGCCATTACCAATAGTAATGAGTTTGACTGTTGTGTAAGCGGAATGGGTCAGCGTTAGCCTGTTCATGCTGTGCATAATTGATTTACACGATCACTGATCGGAATAATTATACATGTGAATGTGTATATGAATGGTGCGAATGGTCCACCAGAGTGCTTGGTACCTGTGTGGTTGCGCCACAAGATTGAACTGTACTGCTCGGATTAAGCTTGAGAGTGGTGCCTGGTTCTCCTGAAAACCAATGCAAAATTACCGAGGTATATTATATAACTATATAACTGTGCATCATTTTAATGTATCCACTACTAATTCTTTATTCTTTCCTAACTCTTATTCAGAGATTATGGAGTTGAAGGGTAGTGTTGTTCAATCTAAGAGGAACTTCTGAGTTTTTGAAGCATTTCAAGTCACTTGATCCAAATAGCCTGCCCGTGGCCCTTTACAACGATAATGACGAATCACTGGTCAAGAAACTTACTACGTTAATTGGAAAGATTTTGCAAACAGGAGTCTGATCATTTTATAATAAAGAGATCGTCATTCCTATCTTTGAAAAAAGCCTTCGCGACTTATGCAACAGTAACTGGAGTATCAGTATGCTCTCCCCTGTTTTAAAATACTGGCAACCGCTATACCCGCCATACAAAACCTGTGAGCGTATTTCCGATTACATTGTGGTTGTATCGATCGAATTTTCAACCGTCAAACTTATCGCAGATAGACGATCGTTGTTTCTTGATAGTAGGGCTCCTTTTGACTCGTTGATCAGGATTGTGACTTTAGATTAATAATCTAAAAGTCTGGGTTTATTAATATATTGAAGGCTTTATATGCAAACACCTGAAGGAAAGTGTTCGACTACTTCTATGCATTTCTCTGGACCAACAATGGGGATAGGCAGGGTTGCACAACCTTTCCATCAGTCAGTCAGCTACAGCGTAAGACCAAGCACATATATGTGTCGGTCCAAGTTGACATACATCATTAGCACAACAAGATGAAAAAATTCATAGAAGTAGTTAATTTCATGGTGGTAATATATGAAAGATTGTATAAAAGGATACAGTACAGGAAGAAAGACAGATATGAAGCAATTTTAATCTCACGGTTTAAGGGAAGATGAAAAGTGTATACACCTGCGCCATTGTGAGAGCAGATAAGAGTTTCGTCTTTTTTCCGAAATCGTCTCACTTAAACTTGACTTCTTAATTCCAGTTTCTCTTATTAGTCGGAAAAGATGTCCTGTGTTACCTACAGCCGCTACCTTTTCCATCTCTTTTGCTTTCATTACCCACCACTGCTCACGATCGTTCCTTAGACTTTGAGTCAACCTACATTTGATTTGTTTCGGCTTTTCGTCGTGTTCAGAGCCTGATGGGATGAGTTTACGCGAATCCATCAGTGAAATAGACTTAGAAGAAATCCATTGGTTTCTTGGAACCCTTTGCTTTAAATTACTAATAGATGTGACTGCTGTTTCCACAGCTGTTTGTGTCTCTTTCCAAGCAGCATCTGGGTCAGTCTCGTTTACAGAACTGCCTAGATGTGAACTCAGTTTTTTCTGGAATTCGCATTTGGCTTTCTCGTCCTCCAGTTCAATCCTAATGGGTCTTCTTAGTGTACTTTTCCTGCGTCCATTGAGGTGCAGACGAATGCGCGCTCGTATTAAAGCGTGATCAGAGTCTAAACAAGTATTCCAATACGAGCGACAATCTTCTATCGAGCCTCTCCAACGATAACTGATGAAAATATGGTCTATTTGAGTCCATCGTTGGTATGGTGCAGGTGGTCACCATGTTAGACGATGTCTCTCCTTATGCTTAAAATTATTGTTTGTTAAAAATAAGCGATTGTCTGAGCACAGTCGCAGCAGACGATCACCATTATCTGTTAGCTGAGCCGGAATACTAAAATACCCAACTAAATATCTTTCTGTTTGGTTAAAGCTACCTAATCGGGTATTAAAGTCACCCGCTACGGGTACTATGTTTGAGCGCTTAGCTTTTTGAAGAAGTTCAGAGAGATTTCTGTAAAAGTCATCTTTCACTTCATCATGGCTGCAGTCAGTGGAAGCATAATTAGAAGCGATGAAAAGGCAACGATGTGTATCCCTATCCTTCCGAGTTCTTACAGAGCCATTTAATCGAACAGCACCTAAGCAACTGTTAATGGGGACCCACTCTATTAGTGCTTGTTCTGCCCTTGTACTAAGTGCTATGCTTACACATGCAAATCCACCTTTCCATCCTTCCTCCACATTGCCAACGGTAATATTCTGGAAACAGCTCTGAAGGATGTATAAGATGGTGTGAGTCTGTTTCCTGAAGAAAGACCTTTCAACCTTGAGTAAGAGAGTAAGACTGTTTTATTATTAGATGATATAAGGCCATCTAAATCCCACTTCATCAGTTGGCAGCTAGTATAAATACAAGTGTTTTGCATCTTATTAACACAAAGTACTTCTGAAAGACTGGCAGGAGCTTGTACCTACGCTCATTCTTTGTGGTGAACCGCCAAATATAGTCGAAAGGTTTTTGTATTTGGGTGGTTGTATGAATACTGATGGTGGTGTGCCAGGTGAGAATAGCTTATGTATCGTGAAAGTCAGGAAAAGTTATACCAATTTAAGACATCTTGTGTGTAGCTTTAACTTTTTTGGCTGTAAAATGTTAGGTTTACAACGCGCGCGATGGAGATTTGGATGAAATCTAGGGGTGATCAGACCGAAACTTAGCATCAGTTTATAACATCATTGACATGGATCGAGACCTGTTGACACGTTCAGACCACATGACTGGGGTCTGTACGATAACCAAGACCAGTGATAGCAAATGTTGGATAAAATAAGTTAAAATCAGTCTTAACAGATCAAATGCATTGTTTTCTTTCATCCCTAGATCTTGAGTTCCAATATTTTTATACATAGTTGTCTACACTATCATTAATTACGTTATTGTGTCAACTCCTTCGGTATTCCTCTTGTTAATTTTATCTTTCTGAGCCGATAGAAGATGATAACTTGAATAAACGCACTATTACATGGGACTCTACGTTAATTAGAAACAGTAGACTTAACCACAATGTAATATACATTATTTACTGACCATATTAGTAAATGACAATAAATCTACAAATGGATTTTCTAATGTAAAAATCAACACAATATATGAAAACGAGGAATATTCAAGTAAACAATTAATTTCAATAATTTTGTCAACAATCTCTGCAATTATAAATCTATAATTATTGCATTATTTCGGTCAAAATAAAACATGATCAAATAAGCTGTCAGTCATAAGCAACAGAGGAATCTAGCATATATGTGCATCAGCTTAATTTGCTATACCACCATATATCCATAGAGAAACGAAATTAAGACAAATTCCAAAGTATTAGGAGTAGTAACAGTATCAGTGCTAGCAGAAAGCATTACACACCAAAAATATAATTCAGGAAGAGAGAACGTATTCACGAAGAAAAGCAAAATAGTTTTAAAACCTAAATCCAAGGGGATATGAAACGAGAATGCACCTGAACAATGAACCTGAGGCGAACTCTGAGCAATGTTACTTTGGGTCTCTAAACGTTGACAGAGATAAGCGCGAAGACCCCAGCCAATTAATGTACACCTACATTACTTTTATAGGGTTCACTCTATTACTGAGCTATGGAATTTTACCACCCGGCATGTAGTCGACACGTGTTGACGAAATAATTTGAATGGTTGGTCTCATCATCCGGTTTTACGACACGTCTCATGGGATCAAGGATGACTTAACAAAAAACCATAATCTGGAGTAGTTAAGACAGCATACATACGATTTTGATATTTACTTTTGGTGAAAGTATGAGTGAGTTATGTAACAGTATTCCATGTATATTTTTTAAACTAAATTTCAAGGTAACCAGTTTTCTGTAGTATAAAAGTTTGGTAAAGTTTTTCATCTGAAAATTTAAACAATTACATACATGAACTTCGTGTTGCAGTAGAAATTGATGAGAGAATATTTCGCAAATCCTGAAGTTGTATCTTCCCAGCTTCAAGTCGTTTATCGGTTGTCTTTAGGAAAGAATGGAGAAAATATCTGTTGTGAGAAAGAAGTGATATCAGTTGAATTATCAAAAACGTTTGTATATTGACAATTACCGAAATACATTAACTAACCTACTTGGGTGTGTAGCAATCAGAACACAAAAGGACCACAGATTTACGATAATTTGCTAATAAATTTCGGTAAGATACTCTAGGTGTTGTCTATACTTCCTAATACTAGATGGCATAATACATTGGTAAAAAGCTAACGGCAAGCAAATCAACATATTACATTAGTCCACCCAGTGACCGACTGCTGGTCTGAGATGTGTTGATACAAATAGACTTCCTGGCTAAAGCCAAGTCCCAGAATGGTAGAGGTACTTACAGTATCAGTGGTGATTGAAAGGACTATGCATCGAAGATACGATTCAAGAAAATATAAACTAGTGAAATAAAAATACAAAAATGTCATAAAGAATTCAGAAGCTCAGAATTCGGGGGGAAGACAGGATGAAAACGGCTATGAGCCATGTCATCTAAATTCCGTAATCACTGGGTACCATAATCACGCGGAGCTCAACCAAGTAGTCTACACCTGTTAACATGACTCACTCCAACTGTCAACGACGTCATGAACCGATGTTTTGATTTGGCCCCCCTAGCTTTCTTCCAGTCTACTACACCAGACAACATTCCTGTCGAGGTAGGTTGTTATGCATACGTAACAAAAGTCCCAATAACCTCAGTTGATGATTTACTACCTCATTATTCTATTTACCATCCCTACCTAGTACCTTATTCCTAACCCAGCCATTGCTAACTCGATGGTCCCAAAATACATGAGCAATGCTTCAGAGACACCTATGGTCGAACGCTAGTAATCAAAGAATATCCTCTATCCTAAATGATCATGTTTCACATCCATGAAGTAGAACGGAGAGAACTGCTGCACAGCGAACATGTTCTTTGTTTAACAGACGGATATCTAGCCTACGCCGCAAGTGAGGCAATTTGACAAAAGCTAATCCAGCATTTTGAATCTATGAACAGATTTCGTCAAACAAAGACCACCAAGGCCGATGAAACTCACAAGATAAGTGAGGCAGTTGATGCGTCCAAATACTTCACCCCCTATCGTTAATCCAGGTGCTAACATAAGCCAATCATAAAGCGACACTTTGCATTTGAAGGGATGAAATCGCAACCAAAGAATGCTTACACTGCCGCTCAAGGTGGTCAAAAGATTGCAATTTGTCAGCAACTTTACCAAACACAATTACATAATCTGTGTATTGCAAGTCAACAAGTGAATCTCCTAGTAGATCAATCCATGAAAAGTCAGACAATGAAAGTGTTATCTCTAGAAGCATGTCTATGACAAAGATAAAGATAGAGAAAGCGGAAAACCCTGAGGAATATCACATGAGGTAACCAGTTCTGACAGTTCCCAATAAGCTCTGACTCGACCAGTAGTATTCGATTATAGAGGCCGTACAAGGTTAATGTACTTCTTTAGGATGCCTTTCAATGAAAAAGTGTCACAGAACCTCGCGATCAAGAGTCGAACTCCATCTTAAGGTCAAGGAATACAATAGCAGTTGGACATCAAAAATCATGTCCATTTTCCAGAACCTGTTGTGGGGGGTGAGTACTTGGTCTTCACATCCACATTCACATCTGAAACCCTACTGCTTTCCTCGGGTTTGCTCTTTACGAGCTATAGTTAAACGTCGAAGTACTATTGAGGCTAGTATGTTAGACACTTCGTCAGTTAAACTGATTCTTCCGTAGCTATCATAAGAAAAGTTTTATTCTTTCTTATAAACAGGGATGATCAAAGACCGAGACCAGTCAGATGGGATGACGTCCAGTTTCTAGATTTTAGCTACGATCTTAGCTAATCTAACTACTGAAACTAGAACATCACTCTTAAAAAATCTCAGGAGTTAGTCCATCAGGCACTTCTTCTCCCTATCGCTTTAGGTTGCTTATATCTTTTTCAACCTCACTAAAAGTTAAGGAACTTATATCATTTTCCCATTCACGCTGCTTGCAGATAGTAACTGAAATGTGTCTCAAGGCCAGTTGGACTGTTTTCTAAGCTGCCCTGCCCATCGGTCTAATCTCATGAACCGAGAGTGAGTAATAGTCCCAGCTTTCCCGAGATGGTTCCACTGGCAGCCGGATTTCTAACACGTTTCCTTTTATAAGTCTGTACAATCGTCTACTGTTACCTATCGCTGCCATCTTTTCCATCTCGTCTGCGTTCGCTACCCACCACTACTCACGATCATTGTGTAGGCTTTTTATCAGAATACATTTAAGCTGCTTCAGATCCTCGTCGTGTCCAGAGCCAGATAGGATGAGTTTTCGAGTTTTTATCAATCAAATGGACGCCGTTGAAATTCACCGAAATTTTTTAACCTTTCAGTTTAAGTTACTAGTGGATATCACTGCTGTTTTTATAGCTCTTTGAATATCATGCCAAGTTACCTCGAGATGGGTATCGCTTTCGTAGTTGACTAACTCCTCTATTTGTTGCTGAAATATTTTCTTCACTTTTTCATCACTAAGTCGAACTCGAAGGGGTTTTTTGCTGTCTTTTCTATGTCCAGTAAGATGAAAACAAATACATGCTCCAACCAGGGTATAATCTGAGTCCAATATTTGCTCCAGAATGAGCAATGGTTTTTTGTCGAACCTCTCGAACGATGGCTGAAGGCAATGTGGTCTATTTGAGTCCCTCGCTGAGTCGACAGTGAGGTCACCACGTTATTTCTTGTTCCTAATGCTAGTGCTTGATAAAAATAGGTTACCTGAGCATAGTTGCAACAGAAGGTCGCCATTATCTGTTAGCTGAATCGTGACAGTGTAAGACCCACCTAGATGCCTTTCAGTTTGATGCCTGAGGATTTAGGGAAATATCATTAAAAGTGCGAGGTTTGGTTAGGACATCAAGTTGTAACGAAAAGAAGCTAAGGCTAAGAGCGTAGATGGTCCTCAAATTTGAACACTTAGAATGCTATACAACAGCTCATTCAGACCAGTTAACTTGTACCTGGAAGAACGTTTATAAAATAAAGGCGCAAAGCTTACACATTAAACAACCCCCCTTAGTATGACTACGAAAGGATCCCGAAACGTCAATAACAAATAAGGTTTAACTAGGAGCTACTGTACAGTAAATTAAGACAATTTTTCGTAACTTACAGACGGACGTAGAGCGTCACCACCTGTAGATGAAGTTCCTGAAGATGGTGTGGCGGCAGTAGTCCCAATGATAGATGTAGAGGCATTAGAATCATCTAGGTGCCCCGTATTTAAATGACGCCCGATTGTCACAGCAGTTGCCTGAGTAGATGGTCTGCAAAAAAATTACAAAAACATACGCAGTTTAATTGAGTAGCAGGAACTAAACAATATGAATTGTTGAGTATACACTTAAAAAGCCCAGAAAACTGACTAAATAATACTTTGACTTGTCAGTTAGCATAGTGTTAGTGTAAATCAACGACTTTAGTTCCAATCAGGTAATGATTTAACTACGACACTGACATTTAGTACAGGTAATTGAGACTGTTATAGTATATCGAAGTTGACGAGCGCGGAACTTATTTGGTACAAAAGATAGTTTTCTGTCTGCACATATCAACTAACTCCTCATGTGATGAAGGCATACAGATTTGGCTTCAGTTTACGCCATTGGGTACAATTATGACATACGAATTGTGGCTCAAAGACGAAAACAAATATCTGTACTTGGTATAAGTTATACTGTAATTAAAGTGACTGGGCTGTTGCTTCGTAACGCCACTTTTGTCCGGAAGCTTAATTTTAGGCTTCATGTGATGGAAATAGACTTTAGGGGTTTAATGAATAAAATGAAAAATCAGACAAACGACCTGACTAATCAGGTCCAGAAATAATATCCAGAACACATACATCTATGATTGTCCTAGATTAAATAAATTGGCCTTGATAACTGTGACTAGGTGATATGTGATATATGGTCCTATTAGAAACGGATTTAATACATATCTATTGGTGTTGGTTTGTTATCTGAGCTGGATGGTTTGGTCGTGGAGCTTTCATCGTCCTTCTGAACGACATCATCAGCACAAACTTCGGGTAGAAGTGAAGTGTTTGAAGAACAGCTACTCCGAAAAGGATTAAATTACAATACAAGAGATGCCTCAAAACTAGAATTCTACGCAGCACTAGAGTCATCACTCAAAACTTCCGGAATAGGTGAGGAAACGTAACAGGAAATAAGACAATCTATAGTACCACTAACTCAACGAATGAAGGGCAACAACCAACTGACGTCACAAGAACAAACAGCTTTGAAGAAACTCAGAACCAGAAAAGATATTGTCATCGTTCCAGCAGACAAAGGACGCACCACGGTGATTATGGACAAAGAAGAATACATCAAGAAAGCCGAGGAAATACTCGAGGACAAAAGTACATACAAACCGATGGACATAAATTCAGTCAAAAAACTAGACAATCGCATTTCAAAAACTTCAAACAAACTCGTCAAAGCAGGAGAAATAACGAAGCAAGATCAAAGGAGAATGAAATCTAACGGACCAGTACTCCCTCGGTTCTACGGCAGACCAAAGATACACAAACCAAACATCCCACTACGTCCAATTGTAGCACTACCAGGAACACCAACGTACAATTTATCAAGAGAAATCTCAAGAATACTGAAACATTTAGTAGATTCGTCGAACCACTCCATCAAATCAGCCACACAGTTCCTTGATCAGATTAAGAACATTCAAATCAACGACGACGAACTAATGATATCCTTCGATGTAACAGCACTATTCACTTCAATTGAACCAAACTTAGCAAAAGAAACTCTGTCCTTGCTTCTAACCAACGACGAAAACCTCGCGAAATACACGAAACTTCAAAGTCAAAGCCTACTTGAACTCATAGATCTATGTCTAACAACATATTTCCAATTCAATAACAAAATCTACAAACAAACAAAAGGGACACCAATGGAATCACCAATATCAGGACTCATCGCGGAAGCAGTAATGCAACGACTAGAAACCACAATTCTATCAGTGATCAAACCAAAAATTTGGATTCGTTATGTAGACGACACATTCGTCATCGTCAAAAAGGAGGAACTAGAAAACACCTACAAGCAGATCAACAACGTCTTCAACGACATCAAGTTCACAATGGAACAAGAGTCGGACAACAAGTTACCATTCTTAGATGTATTAATCACCAGAACTGACACAGGAAAACTAGAGACTCAAGTGCGCAGGAGGCCGACCCACACCGATCAAATTCTCAACTACAATAGTAACAACCCAAAAACTCACAAAATCAACTGTGTACAAACTTTGTTCAAGAGGGCGAGAACACACTGCAATACAATCACAGCACGAAAAAATGAAAACCATTCTTCAAAAGAACGGCTATCCAATCAATTTCATCAAAAAATACCAGTCGCACACACCATCAGAAACGAAATCGAGTATAAAAATCAACAAAAGGATCACCCTACCATACATAAAGGGCATATCGGAAACGACAACAAGGCTGCTGAAAACATTCGGAATAGGTGTGGCCCACAAACCAACAAAGCCCCTCCACTCAATCTTATGCAAACCAAAAGATGAAACGGCAAAAGAGGATAAAACAAACATCATCTACAAGATAAATTGTACCAACTGCAACAAACACTATATTGGACAAAGCGGCCGCCCCCTGCATCTTCGCCTACATGAACACCAATTAGCAGTCAAACGCCACGACATTTCTTCACTCATATCAATACACGTGGACAACTACGGACATACATTCGACTGGGAAAATGTGCAGATTTTGGACAGAGGCAATTCCAAAAATACCAGAGAATATTGGCACTCAGGTCAATCAGCAATAAACAAACATATTGAAATCAACCCAATCTATCAACCAATCAAGAAAATTATGCAGGAACATAGGAACAAAAATCAAACCAATAGGAGATACAACCAAAACAAAGGAATAAACAATGACAGATTTAAGGTCAATAAGAACCAATCAACATCGAGGTGCAGAGGACAAGCTGTGAATCAGATGTGGAGAAATTCAAACACTTCACTTCTACCCGAAGTTTGTGCTGATGATGTTCAGAAGGATGATGAAAGCTCCACGACCAAACCATCCAGCTCAGAGAACAAACCAACATCAAAATCACCCACCTGAGCTACAAATCTTCTCCACCATCTCACATATCTATTGGCCATATCTGAATTTTCTTTCATGCATAGAATCTAAGTTTGTCACGGAATCATATTCTCAAGCAAGTCACGGAATCATATTCTCAAGCAAGTCACGTAATTTTCGGGAGGTTGTGGACATCTATGTGACGCATGTGTTAGACAGGTAGTCTATTTAAGGCCGTTATGCGATTCAACAGGCTGTCTCAAAACTTCGGAAAGCTTAACCATATATTCACGGATTATTTAACCTATCTAGTAGAATATATTCCAAGAAATTTAGAGAAGTATTCACACTAGATTAAAACTATTTGAGACAAAAATGAGTTACCACGATATCTCTAGTCAGACTTACACATCAGATTCCGAAGGCAATCCACTTCCGAGTCCTACCCCCATCGCTAAGATGAACAGATTTGAGAGAATAATTACAACTTACACAACAAAGCCAGAATGTCTCTATGAGTAAGTTGGTTGAGACTTTCAAAACGACTAAGCCAGTCACCTGAAAATGTAATGAGTTCCATCAAATTTACTTGATAGTGTGGTAGTTTGTGCGGGCGGAGACCTAATGTAGTCATTTATCCTTGAACAAATGTCACTATCATTTTTTCCATTGGGTTCCTTTGAAAATGGTTTGAAGAATAGAACTTACTTGCATCCAAATGAAAAAATGCTTGGGACCTTTGAACTTAAGGAGATAAACCCTACCTGTTGTACACTGTGGAATCTTTTGAAACTCAGCCTGTTTGGCATTAATAATGAAATTCTAATTTAATAATTTGGATGAATGGAGGTACACCTACATCTTCAACAAGAAACGTCTTGCGATCGATCCAACAGAAGTGTAACTTTCCGTCCCCGGACTGATAAACATAGACCCATCCCTTGCGAGGGTCAGCATGAACCCAATTATCGTCACCAATCGTCATTTTCCCTGCTTTGAATTGCAGTAAATGTCGTGTTTGAGATTGCTGAGGCCTTCCGAATAAGGCAGTTCTACTCGACATGGCGAAAAACCTGATTTGGTGGAGGCGGCTCACTCAAGGACAGTCTGTTCAATACCCAATACCATAGCCGAGAAATGACGTTGTTCGCGAAAATATTCAGTACCTTAATAAAAACACTGAGGAGATCTTTCTAAACACATCAAAGTATACTTGATTTGAAAAAGTGAACAATATTTCGTACTACAAATCATACCTTTAGTTCACCCTTTTTATCAACATTCAAACTGCTAGGTATTCCTCTCTAATTTTGGCGTTAGAACCTGATTCAGTAGGCGATTTAGAGTATATCAACTAGCACCGACAACTGTGTAATCAGCATGGACGTTTTGGGGTCTCTTTTGTTACTTAAGGCAAAGTTTTGGTGTATTTATGCATCCACTGTAAGTTTTAATGGTTCAAATGGTTGAGGACGGAATAGAAGAAGCTTTCGCTTAACGGGCTTCCGTGTCTGGTAGCAGTGTATCACCAATACCTCCAGGTAAGAACCTAGGTATATGAACGATAATAGAGGAAAAAAGGAGTTTGGTAAATCATAATAATATGTTATCCTTAGTCCTTAAGAATAAGTCAAGTTTCCTCTTAAAGGACTCCTGAGAGGTCGCTTGGACTAGCTCAGTCGGCAGCGAATTCCAGCACTTGACAACTCTAACGGAGTAGAAGTTGTGTCTGCAGTCTGTTCTGCTATGTAGGGTCTCCAATTTCTGGGTGTTACCTCTGAGGTTAGTGTTATGACTAAGCTTAAGAAGTTGTTTAAGGGGATGACCAGAAGTATTAAGGATACTATAAGTCATAAGAAGATCACCTCTAAGACGCCTATACTCTAACGGGTAAAGGTTAAGTGATTTGAGGCGCTCTTCATAAGGTTTGAATTTGAGACCCCGAACTGATTTCGTGGCTCGACGTTGTATACGTTCCAGAGTTACCTTAACCTTTTGGAGGGAGGGAGGAAATACTATGTTTTCGTACTCTAAGTGGGGACGAATAAAACTGTTGAAGATTATGTGGAAGGTTCTACTGTAGTGCCGCGATTCGTTAACCGTTTACTTCGATAACCGTTATAATTCTAAACTTAACGGCGCGTAAAATCAGAAGACAAAGGATAGCAGCAACTACAGTTTATTGTCGAATGACTCAGGTTCGAAAGCTAACAACACCTGAGCGAATATGAACGAGCGAGTGAACAGGCAAACAAGCGAAGGAAACGAACGAGGAACAAGCGAGCAAATAGCAAGCAATTACATAGGCAATTTGTAGTCAAATTTAATAAGGGCACAGCAAAGCAAAACAAAGGCTGATAATAATATTTGTGTGTGTACATATATGGAGAGGAGTATGAGTCATCGAATGATATTTAAGCAGTCAACATTTCGGCTAGAGTGTCATGTGCTTTAATGGTATAGCAGTTTAAAGAATATGCAAATTGTTACTATCCAAATGACGATGTCTGTTAAGTAAGTTATAAAAAAGGGCTTAACCAAAACTGGCTATAATCGAAATTGATTGTAGGATGGTTGCTATACTACCGTCAAACTGGCCGAAAATGGGCTTCAATGTTACCAGTGCAAGGTTTGCTTGAGAGGCGTTTTTGTCACAGTTCGCATACGATTTCAGGTCGTAGGGTACCAACACACCTAAATCTTTTTCAACTTGGGAAACTTCTAGAGGTGAGTTACCTAAGTTATAACTATAGTCTGCAACATGTTTCAGATGGACTACCTTGCACTTTGAAGTGTTGAAGGTAAGTCCGTTGTCGTCTGCCCAACTTTGAAGTCGGGTCAGATCCTCCTGAAGAACTAGTATATCACTATGATTACGTATCTCTCTCCAAAGTTTCACATCATCAGCAAAAAGCAATAAGTCAGATGAAACTTGTTGAGGAAGATCGTTAATATAAATCAAGAAGAGAAGAGGTCCTAGTATTGAACCCTGGGGGACCCCACTAGGGCATTCCATAGCCTGAGAGAGAGTGAAGTTAACCCTGACCTTAAAGTGTCGATTTTCTAAATATGAAGAGAGCCAACCAATTAAAGGGGGTTTACACCCAATCGTCCAAGCTTCTTGATAAGACATGTATGGTTGACCCTATCAAAAGCTTTGGAGAAGTCCAGGTAGATGACGTCAACCTTCCCCTTGCGATCAAGGATGGTTGTCCATCTATCCACCGCAGTCAGCAGGTTGGTCATACAAGAATGACCTTTTCTGAAACCATGCTGTTGAGGCGAGAGGAACTTTGAGGATGATAATTATTCTAGTATGCCGTCGAATACTAGGGATTCCATAATTTTTGAAGGTATGTAGAGAAGGGCCACTGGTCAGTAGCTTGAGGGTTCACTGCGTCGACCTCCTTTGAAAATTGGTGTGATGTGGGCCAGCTTCCATATTTCCGGTAGTTTGCCTCTGCTTAGCGAGTGTGCAAACATCACGCTAAGTGATGTCGCCAGGATTGAAGCTGCTTCCCTCAATACAGCGGAATGAACCATGTCCGGACCAGGAGAAGTGTCTTTTCTTTGGTTCTGCAGTTTACGGAGCACCAGGTCAGCACTCAGGTCCACTTCGGAAAGTCCTGTACAGGTACAGGTGAAGCTTTCGTCAGTATGGTTGATGTGGGTCAGCTGGAATGTCCGGAAGTATTGTTCAGCCAAAAGGTTAGCGGCATCACTGTCGTTATTGGTCGGGCCATTAGGACCAAGCAGTTGGGAAACTCCAGTTTTGCCTTGTCGAAGAGAAGCTGCATAACTGAACAAGCTTTTCGGATTGGAGACGAATCTATCGATAAGCTTGGTCTGGACTTAAAACAAAGAGTGAGTTTTTTGCCTCCATCTTGAATCGAAGGGGGAAATGCTGTGTCTGTAATGTTATCATGGATGAATGAATTTGAAGAATCCTGCTACTGACACGTAAAAATTGAGTTTCAGAGTTACCAATGCAGGTAGCCCAGGCTATCGGTGCTCTGTTAACACAAGTTTCCTCGACTGAAAAGGAGGATTTATTGTGCTCAGAAGCCGAATTTTACACAAGCCAGAAAACATTATCGTGCTACACGCAAGGAGGTACAAGCAGTCATCTACTCTATTCACCACTTCCGGCATTACTTGCTGGGATGAGTGTTTGTTATTAGAACTGATCATAAAGCTTTAATATGGCTACCTCATGAAAACTGTCCTTCGTACATCACACCAACGACGAATGTAATCGAGTCGATAATCATGTGAAATATTAAATGGGCTCATACTCAGGCAACAGATCCGGAAAGTTTAATAGTGTATAAGGCTTTGAAAAACCAGAGTTCTCGGCCATCTCCAGATGAAATTCAAGGTGTGAGTTGGGGAGGTAGATGTCTATGGTCCGTGTGGAAATTCCTAATAATAATAAATGAGGTATCGTATTTTTGTTGTGCATCGTGATGTTCGAGACAACTAGTAATCTCATAGTTTATGGTCTATGGTGTCTTGGACAAAGTTCATGAAGACTTGTAGCATGGATACCAAAATAAATTGACAGAAGCCGTCAAACGTATATATTGGTGGTCAGAGCAAAGGAAAGACATACGGAATTGTGTCAGAACTTGTAATACCTGTCAAATGATCAAGAACCCGAAAGACAACCCACGTGCACCCTTAGTAAATATGAAACCAGGTTGCCTGAAAGGGATAGTGGGGGGTTGACATTATTAGGCTATTAAGGGAAACCAACAGAGAAATTAAGTATATTTCGTCATGGCTGATCGCTATACAAAGAGGTATGAGGTCATTCTTTTATAAAGTATAGATGCTCAGACGGTCGCTAAAGTGGTATTTGAAATTTGGTTTTTTTAATTGAGTTACTTCGGTTCATTTGCATTCAGGTAGAGGCACCAACCTTGAAAACATAAGTTTTAAAGAACTATGCCAAGTATAGGGCATTCGCCAAAATCTACAACTGCTTAATACCCGGAAGGCAACGAACCCGTTGAGAGAACCGGCAGGTCTCTAAAACACTTCTAAAAGTATTTGTTGATTACGAAGAAACTAGATTGTGGGACCTAGCTATAAACGGATGTTTAACGGCATATCTCGGTAGCATCCCCAAGTAGACTGAACATACGTCTCATCTACTATGGACGGGAAGGGGTATAAGGCTTCCAGTGGGGTTGCTAACATCCTTAGTTGGTATCAGACATGGTTGTGAAGCTTCAAAATAATAATTCAATGTATGATATAGTTTTAGTGTAGTTGGGTGTGGCACAAAATACAAATGGGAGTTTTATGATAAAAACAATCATGAAACACCCTTACAACCAGGAAAAAAAACATTATTAATAACAGAAAACCCACTAGCAGAGACAGTTATTAAGCTACACATAGAATTGGCAGATCCTCATGAGATATCCAGTCTTAACAGAATCTGTGGGTTAAATGAAAGACACCAGAGACGATTTTCGTTCACATATGAACGTTCACTACAATCGACTCAAACCGGCCTGTAACTACGTGTGATAAATATCCAGTCAAAGTTAATACTTTACTTTTTAAAAATTGGTTTATAATTATGTTCCGTTTAATTTGTTAAGGGTCTGAAGGTGAAGGAGGAAAATTAACTTGTACCCTATTGTAATTTTACATCAAGTTTTGTGTTACGAGACGGCCGTTCAGTAAGGCGTTCCTGTCAAACTACTATTCCTGTGTTCTCATTGAATTATTACGATACTCCTTTGATATTGTTGGTTTTATCGATGCTTCAAAAACACTTTCTTCTGTGCAGATAATTGAGAACAACGCTTAAAAGAGAGCAGTGAAACATTAGCAACACGGTAAGATGGAAACGACCTTTGATTTAAAATAACTGGTTGATTGGTAGGATCAGTACCTTTAATTGTGAAGTTGCAGTTAGTTTTAAGCTGATTGAGCTGAGAATATACACACATCTCATTGGGGGATTTACTCCGGCGGCAATTCCAGACGACTGATTAAGTTGCTCCTTGTTGGAATGATTTCATACCTGTTGTGAATTAACTTTGCTTCTTCACATTTATTGCATCAAAACCGTACTTGGTGTACTTTAACTTTGATCATTTCGTTTAAAATTCTAAATTTTCCTCAAATTTGTTTTAAGGTACTCTTTTTTAGCTGTTTGTCATGCTGGTGATTATGCAATATATTTTTGTTGACTTTATTCTTCCTAA